CCGAGGTGAAATCTTCATCATCACCCGAAGCAAAGACTTAGTGAATAAATACCTTTCAAGTATCTTAACAGCATTTCCGAAAAAGAAGGATCATTTCTGAAATACTCGGAAATGATAAAGAAGAATCTCGAAGGATCGAATCAAATCAGGAAAACTTCCGGATGCTCCGAAGAATAAGGAAAGTATCCTTATCTGCGATATTCTAAGCCGACTTCAAGATAAATGGAAATCTTCCGAGAATATCGCTGGAGAGGCGGTTTATCACCCCTATATAAAGAGACTCAAGGCTCTCGCAGAAGCGGAAGCAACATCGCTCTAGAATTTACACTAAAAAAAGCTCTCACAGCACAAACATCTTTTTCTTTACGATCAAACTCTTGTACGATCAAAGTTATCTTTTCCTTAATAATATCAAGAACACCATCTTTGGTATCAATTGATTCTGTCGTTCTTTGAGAATTCTCGCAAATCGTATCCCTAAATTAAAACCCTAAACAAATCTCGATTGTGTTAGTTTCGACTTCCACAAATATTCATACAAAATCTCCTTATTTATGACTTCGGTATTTAAAACTGTTTTCAATGTGTCTGGGGTCCAAATATATGAGAACTAAAACCACATATATAATGACATGGTTTTGCTATCTCAAGTCATCGGTGTCAGGTGCATCTCACCACATTAAATGTGGAAACTGAGAATATGAATCAGTTATAAAAAGGTTCTATTTTGGGAATGAACAACAAAAAAAATACTATATCAAGTGACTGGTCTTCATATATCAAAAAAAAACTAATCAACAAAAAATGAATCAGTAGTTCTAATAACACAAGTTATTCTTAATATATCATGAGAATAACTAAATGAAGACCATGTAGCTTGAAGATCGACGACGAATGACAAGCAATTTGATATCAGTGCACATTATGCGGACACAAGGTGCGTCACATAAGATTGATGCAAACTTGTTGAGAGATTATGTTTCAAATAAAGGGTTTCGGTTTAGCACAAAATCCGGAATGGAATTGCTGATTGGTTGCGATTAAGCCGGGTTCAACTTAAGTATGAGTGAAAGACCCTAGAATACGCAGAGGCTTCGGATTGCGTTTAAACCAAGATCAAATCGAAGCCCGGGTTAACAAGTTGTTAGCCTGTTTAAAGGCTTTTACTCTGTTCTTCTTCTTGTACTTTGCTCTTGAGCTAGAGAGAGTTGTAACGGTGGATGTATAACTGCAACATTGACATCTATTGGATTGCTAACTCAAGTTGGCCTGACACCAGTGCCCATCCTACACTTGAAGTGGCCCTAAGAACAATTATAAATCGTGGACCATTAACATAAAGGCAATTAGAAAAAAACAAAATTGTGGACATATTATATGGGAGTGGGACTCGAACTTTTAACCCTTAAGCCACCTTAAGCCACAAAAAATGAAAGCAACCAACTAAACTAATGGACATTGTACATATATATATATATATATATATATATATATGTGGCCTCAAAATATACCATAAACGCATGCTTCTCCTGCTTGTCCTCATGGCCAGCACAGCCCGAGACATAGGGTTTCACATGGAAACTTGACATCGGTAAAAGTCTTATATGTGTTCTTTGTTTGATCGATAGTGAAGAGTTGATTCGGGTTTACTTTCTTGGGTTATCTTATTGTCATGACTCTAATATTTGATGATATAACAAAAAAGGTGAATGTATAGACGAAATAAAACCGATATAACTAGGCCTGGGCGTTCGGATATTCGGGTCGGGTTCGTGATGAAGCGGAAGCTTCTAGGGATAGAACTAAATCCGTTGATTCTGAGAATACCCGGAAACTAGGGTTTGAGAGTCCTCCTCTCAGGGCTTTCGCAAAAGCTCTTAGGGTTTGTGAATACTCTTCACAGTGGTTTATCAAAACCTCTTTAAATCTTTCGATTAATCAATTTATCAATAACTTCATACAATAGGAGGCCTAAGAAGGCTATTTATAATAAAAGCATAAAACCCTAAAATCCATAGAATATTCTAGAATAATTATAATTAATAAATTAAAAGATAATAGAAATAGATATTTGGGATATTTCCAAATATCTCGCTGCATCAGGTCTCGCCGGTCAAGAAAAGATTCGTCCTCGAATCTTGTTTCTGCGCTGCATCAGCTCCCTCCGGCCAAGAAAGATTCGCCCTCGAATCTTCAACAGGGTTTTCAGCATAGGAGATCTTCGAAGATTCAGCTTTATCTCCATCTTTTGATTCTGCCCGATTTTTGCACGAACTGTATCTGACCCGAAATTTGCACAAATCTGATTTGACCCAGAATTTTCACGAATCGGATTTGACCCGAAAATTGCACAGATCTGATGTTCCATGATTTCGGCAGGAAACCAGAATTTTGCACCAGTATGATTTTGCACGAATTTTGCACGAGTCAGATTTCGCACGAATTTTGCACGAGTCAGATTCTCGAATTCATCTTCTGGAAAAACGAAATCAATAACTATAACATCATCTTCATAGATGTCATAGCTGGGATCACCATAGATCTCTCTGTAGATCTCATAGTTTTCTTCTTCTTTAGAAAACAGACTTTCGCCTGTGATAGGGTAGACGTTTCCGGTCAACATGACATCTAGAATCGAGCCTTGACTTAGAAATCAAAGCACTGGCTCTGATACCAAATGATGAAGCGGAAGCTTCTAGGGATAGAACTAGATCCGTTGATTCTGAGAATACCCGGAAACTAGGGTTTGAGAGTCTTCCTCTCAGGGCTTTCGCAAAAGCTCTTAGGGTTTGTGAATACTCTTCACAGTGGTTTATCAAAACCTCTTTAAATCTTTCGATTAATCAATTTATCAATAATTTCATACAATAGGAGGCCTAAGAAGGCTATTTATAATAAAAGCATAAACCCCTAAAATCCATAGAATATTCTAGAATAATTATAATTAATAAATTAAAAGATAATAGAAATAGATATTTGGGATATTTCCAAATATCTCGCTGCATCAGTTCGGGTCGGGTTTTTCGGGTTCGGGTTTTTCGGATTTAGAAAACTAAGACCCGTTCGGGTATTTTAAAACTTCGGGTTCGGGTCGGGTTCGGATCGGATTCGGATCGGGTATTTCGGGTTTGGATTCGGATTTACCCGAAGTATCCAAATTTTAGAAATTTTGTATCCGATTCTATGCAAAGTATTGAAAAATACTCAAAAAATCTACAAAACCCACTCAAGCATAGTCTCCATCTTGCTCTCGGGAGTGGGCGCAGGTGGATTCTGTTATGTCGTGTTCCCGTATGTCCTCTGGAAGCTACTAGTCTACGGATATGTCTTCTGAAATGCTGACATGTTGTTGAAGCCAGAGTTGTTATGATTCCCTCTGAAGCGCTGACCGCTGAAGTTACCCCGGGGAGGCCCGAATTTCCTGTATCCCTGGCCATCAATGTAGAACACCCCTTCTTCAGATTCTTCCTCGGGCTCAATATTCTCAACTTCTGCAGCGAAGTGAACAGCTTTCTTTCCCGTGAGGAGGCTATGAACTGAATCCAACTATGCATTAACCTCTGCGAATTGAGTACCAGTAATAGCGCCTGCAATTTTCTTCCTCTCGAAGTCTGCGTTCTTCGTGCTGTTACTACACGCGAGATTCTCAATAAGATCTACAGTATCTATGGGGTACCTGGTCATGAAGTTACCATTGCTCGCAGAATCAAGAGCCATCTGGTATCTCCAATCTATTCCTCTGAAGAATGTACCGATAAGCTGAACTTCGCTAAAACAATGATGAGGGCAGTCTCGTTGATACTCCTTGAATTGAACCCATGCAGCTTTGAATGCTTCTGCTGGTCCTTGAGTGAAAGTAGAAAACTTGTTGCGCAGCTCCTCAGACTTGCCATCATCATAGAAATTGTTGAGAAAAGTTATCTTGATACTCTGCCAGTTGGTCAAAGATCCTGGCTTCAACTACTTTAGCCAAGAGGCGGCTTCCCCAGTAAGTGAATATGGGAAGAGCTTGCATAGTAGGTAGTCTTCTGAAACTCCATTAGCCTTGATGCTCAGTACCAAATCCTCAAATCTCTCGATGTGGTCCATAGGCTGTTCATTAGAGAAGCCATGGAAAGGATGTTGACCCACAAGAGTGAAGTATGCGGGTTTCAACTCGAAGTCATGTCTCTGGAATGGGGGAGGTAAGATCGCTGATCGGTTAGCATAGAACAGGTCTTGCCTGTTATAATCCCCAAGAGTCATGGGACGTTCCGCTGCGGTAGGCGGTGGTTGGCGGCCCTGCTGGCCAGGTCTGATCTGCACGTTAACATGAGGTTGGTGTCGAGCGACACCCTGGTGGTGTCGATCGACACCATCGACGTGAGCTGCTACTGCGTTTGGTGGAACGACAGCATTTTGGATATTTGGATCATCCACGATCAGATCCTCAGGTATAACAATCCCGTGATCGTCCAATCTCTGTCCAGCCTCATTGTAGGCTTGTCCATCATTATATCTCAAAACTCCTTCTTCATCAGCTCTGATTTCTCCACGAACCATTGTTGATGTTTTGCGAGCTTTGCGGTTGGTGCGTTCTAACTTCCCCAAGTCAAGTGTAGACAAATTGACGAGATTCTTCTCTTTGCTACTCCGAGTTATGCGATTAGGCATGCACCTGAAACACAAGAAAAAAAAAAAAAAGAAACGCGTAAGTATCAAAAGAAAATAAAAATCTAGAGAAAATTTCTAAACATAACTTAATGGTGATTCCTAAGAAGTTCGGCAACGGCGCCAAATTTGATACAGGTCAAATTAATCCTAAAGCCTACTCTCTCAAATTAAGAGGTCGATTGCAGCACTTAGGGGTCGAATTCCACAAAATTCTTTTGTTCATATAATAAGTTATAAGTATCGAAATTAGGCTAAATGAAAGAGAAATTATCTCAAATAGCCTCAAATCAAGTTTTTGGGACAAGAATAGCAATCAAAATTTTAATGGACAGAAATAGCACTTTATTTTTGATTTTTTAAATTAATAAATAATTATAAATAAATACAAAAAATCACAAATTCATCTTTAATATTTTCCCGCCAAAAAAATTTCGTCAAAATTTTCCCGCCAAAAAAATTTCCGTCCGACTTTTCCTGCCAAAAAAAAAATCCAAGAAATTCAGGAAGGATTCCACGAAATTTAGGAAGGATTTCACGTAATTTAGGAAGGGTTTCACGATTCCTGAAATTCATGAATTCATGACATCCTTCCTGAATTACCTGGAATCCTTCCTGAATTTCCTGCAATCATTTAAGGAATCCTTTCCTGAAATTCAAGGAATTCTTCCTGAATTTTGTGGATTTTTTTGGCGGGAAAATTTTGACGGAATTTTTTTTTTGCGGGAAAATGTTAAAAAAAAAAAATTTGGCGGGAAAATTTTGATTAATTTTTTTGGCCGGAAAATATTTTTACATTGCGAAATTTTTTTGGCGGGAAAAATAAATTATGGCGGGAAATTTCCAATTTTATTTATTTATTTATTTTAATTAAACTAATGATTCATATTTAATAATTAATTAAAGTTTATAGTGTTATTTGTTGAACTTTTCAAATGTAGTGCTATTTTTGGAAGAAAAACTTATTTTAGTGTTATTTTTGTCAATCTCCCTAAATGAAATTATTAAAATTAAAATAAAACTATAGCAAGCAATGATTTCAGGTGAAAAGATCAATAAATTAAAGCGTCAGGTTTAGAGAAATTCTTAGAAAATAAACTAGTAATAAATCTAGAGATTTATTACATCCTTAAAAGTCAGTTCACTAATCATCCCTCAAACTCAAACCTTTTATATATACTCCGACCGAAAAATTATAAAAATCTCTATCTTAAAAGGAATACTACTACTTAAAATATTGTTTCAAAACTCATTTTATTTTTATATATCTGAAAGCAAGTGAAATATCTATAAAAAGAATTATGTTTTCCAAACAAAATCTTTTAACTTTCATTATATGTGATTTTTATGAAAATGTTTCCAAAATCCATGCTTCACTAATAAATTGGATATCTTATTTTAATTTTAACACTAATAAATAGGATATTATTTTCTAAGAATATCAAACATTAAAAAAAATATATCAACATAAAACCCCAAATAATGGGGACGATTAAACTATAAAGTATACTAGATGAGGCTCTGTGTTGTTACAAATTATTCAAGATGATAAAAACATATGTAAATATATAATTTCGAAATGACTGTAAGGGGGATGTATTGACTGATGAATTTAGAGTGATTTGAGTTTTGAGATAATTTTAGTGAATTTTGGTAAATTAAGAAATTTGTTATTAAAATTCTCTCAAATTTCACCAAAAACCATGAGATTTTTATTTCTGTATTTTTAACTAATAAATACTCTGAAATTTCACCTTAATTCACTCAAATGACTTCAAATCCACTACTTATAATGTTTCCAACAACAGTAGATTTGATAGTTTATTTCTAAAATAACTAATCCAATAATACTTGATTTTAGAAAACTTATTAAAATTCACATTTGAATAACATATGATTTGTCATTTTAATAGAAATCACTCCAAATCCTTTATTCAATACACCCCCTAAGTCTTAACTAATTATAAGGATTTTTTATTTAAAATAATTATAAGGGTATAATCATATTAAAAATTTATTTTTATTATAGTAACACATTTTATGGCCAAATGTTTTTAAAGATCAAATTGGTTGTGTTAAAACAATAAGGAACTATCAATTAAATTAAAATAACCAAATTCCACATAGGGAAGTGTTTAAATCAATGAAAATAGTACATGAATTTTTTATTTTTGAAATAAATATTTATGTTAGTACTGTATTAAAATGATAATTAGAGATTTACACTATTAAATGCTAATGACATCGAATGCAATTATAAAAGGTTGTTTTCACTTCTATTTGTCAACTAATTAATATAATACATTAAAGATGTCGAAAACATGATTAAATTTTCAGTAAACAGAACTCTCAAACGTCTTAATTTTTTTATAATCGACCCCTAAGCCAGTAAGCCATAACGAATATCACACTTGTCCTTGTAATAACTAACACAAAAATAACAGCTCACTCACTAATCACTATTTCAAAGAAAAACTCCCTTACGCAACGTCAACTTACTATACATCGTGTTTTCTAGAGTAGAAGATAATAATAATAATAATAATAAATTATCATACATGTTAGGTATCTAAATAAATATTAAATATTGATTAATTTTTAATTTATATGTTAGTTTATTATATATGTTGTGAATAAATAATTAGAGAAATATATATGGTGGAAGCGGAAAACATTAGTGGAAGATTATCCGACTTCTAAATCAATAAAAAAGGACTAAAGAAAAAGTAGGACACTATAAAATAAAAACTGGATTCCATTACGTTGTGTCGAGTTATTTTTGATGATTATTGAGAAAATCAAAATTTTTGCAAAAAGAGAGAGTAAGTGGGAAAGAGAAGTGGAATTTTATGTAAGAGCTTGATCAAATCAAAACAGGCCCTGGATCGGATGTCCAGGGGCGGGACTTATATTGTCCACATGGGGTCAATTGACCTCTATGAACTTGTAAAAATTGTTATTTTACTTGTAGTTGTAGAAGCAAAATTCATTAAAATGGTTTAAAATATACTTATTGATCCCTACAAAATTTTGTTAAAAAATGGATATTTAGTGTTAGAATAAAAAATGACCCCTATAAAAATCATGGCTACCTCCGCCACTGCAGATGTCTATAGTTATTCCCCAGGGTCATAGGTCTACCTTTGGAGACCTTTAGTGATGCACGGGATATTACATGATATCAAACGCAATCGCATATATCGTCGCTATTTTTAATCCTAGGTATCGATCGAGTGTGTGTCTTCTGAACCTTTCCGATAATTTCTCGGGCTTTCGGTATGGTAGTACTGAGTTTCAAAGAGGAGCCGCATATGCTCTATAGACACCATTCATGTTGTTCTGTGGTAGCTGGCCGACAAAGTGAAGGTGGTTTTGCTTGCAAAGGAAGTTATTTAGTATGTAGACAAAATTAATTTGAGTAAAACTTTTATGCTTTTTTAAAGGATAACTTTTATTGGTGGAGTCACTTAAAAAAAGGTTCATCATTTAATTAGAGTACATCCGTTATTAATTAACTACACCAGTTGACAAAAAAGAAGAAAGAATAAAAAGAAGAAAGAATGCAAGAGAGCCAATAATTAGACCACCGGCTCTGACAGTCTGACTAGACCAGAAAAGAGTATTTTCGTCTAAAAGCTTTTTAACCGACCATGAAAAATAAATTGTTTTGGGGCCAACCTTTTCGTTTTCATATCCGGACAAGGTCCTCATACGTACCAATACTAGAAGCTTGAAAAGTCAACCAAATATTAAAGTAACGTGGAAAATATGAAATTCGTTGCAGAGATTACGTGATCTCTCTACGAAGATAAGCTTTTTTTTTCTTTGGACGAATGAGACCAAATATTTTACTTTTACTTCTACTTTTATTTTCTTTTTTGTCGGCACCCCATATTTTATTCAAATGGAATTTAAAACAAAAATTAGACACTGGTAGTGAATTTGAATTAGTTAAAAAGTTTGATAAACTAAAATATATATTATAAATGTTAATTAACCTAGGTAAAGAAATCTTGTAAACAAGATACCTCACTGTAAAAACAAAATAAGAGGAGCATTTGATTGATATTTTCCATGAAACATTGAATTGGAAGTCCAGGTTCATCATCCCGATCAAGAAACAATTATACAGATTTAGGCAATACAAATATTTGATACAAGGAGATATTCAATCAAGTCCAAATACATGAATACTATCTAAAAATGTAAAAAAGTTAACAATATAAAACCACATTAACAGTACTAAATCGCAGTAAAATATGACATTTTTTCAAGGACATAATTAAAAATATATAACATTTCTTCTATATACAATAAAATGGATATCTAAATATTATATATTTATTTATAAATCTGTAAATTCCTAATATATATTTCTCGTCGAATCTTTGTTCTTTCTCGGATACTTTTATCCATTCCATTTTTTTTTCTTTCTCGACAAAAAGAACCTTTTTATCTTATGATAAAAATGAAAGACTTCATAAGAGACGTGATAAAAAGAAAAGAAAATGGAGCGTGTGTGTACGCGTGGGTCTACTCTCTATAGAAACTTAGAAAATTAGGAAGAATCATACAAATTGGAAGTAGAATAGTCTCAAAGACTGAACCATCGCCATTCTTTATCCTTTTCTTTATTTTCAACATTAATCATTAATTCATTCATTATATATACTTCTCTCTAATTTCTTAATAATCTCGCCTTATAGTTTTTTTTTTCTTCTTAAAAGTCTTCTTCTTATAGTTTACATGGCAACCGTCGATGTCATCAACGGTGATTCAATCTCAACTCTTCATTCTGATATCATCCAAACCCAAATCTTGACCCGACTCGATGGTCCGACGTTAGCCTCCACCGCAACAACCTCCTCCTATCTCCAAACACTTTGTACGGAAGAGAAACTCTGGCAAGAACTCTCCATCGCCACGTGGCCTGCAATCAATGATCCACGTGTTGTCCGAGCCATTTCCTCTTTCCCTTCCGGTTACCGTTCTTTTTTTGCTGACTCGTACCCGTTCACTGAACACACGTGGCAGTCCGAAAAACATGATCCACCGACGGGATTAATCTCAGCCGTTGATTTATACTATAGAGGAGAGATTATCTACTCGAAGATACAAGAGATGGAAACAGAGAAAGGTAAATCAGGATGGTTCTTGTCATCGCCGTTTCGGGTCGATATACTCGACCCGAAAGAGTCGGTACAAACCCGGATTCGATATCCGGGTGGGGATTACGAAGCGTGGGTGAAAGATATGGAAGAGAGTATGAGGCTTAACTGGATATTAATCGATCCGATCAAGAAACGGGCAGCGAATATATCTAGTCGAAAGGCGGTGTCTGCGAGGCGGAATTGGCTAACGGGAGATTTAGAAATAAGGTTTTCAACTATAGTGACGGCGGCGGCGGCGGAAGTGGCGGCGGTTGTGTCATGCGGGTCAGCGGAAGCGTGGAAGGAGGTGGATGAGGAAGTGGGAGGAGAAATACACGTGAGAGACGTGAGGCTACAAGTTGAGGACATAGAAGGAAAATGTATGAAAGGGAGGGATAGTTTGGTAATTTTACAAGGGTTGTTAGAAGGAAAGAGATCGTGTAAAGATGATGAAGAGAGAAGAGCTAAAGAAAGGTATGAAGAATACGTGCGAATGAAGATTCAATGGAGAGAGAATAAAGAGAGGAAAGAAAAAGCTCAAGACACAATTTGTATGATCTTTGGGTTCTCTTTGTTTGTGCTTTTGTGGAGTTTTATTTTGTTACGGTAAATAACTAAAGAAAAGTACAAAAATACTTTAAAGTGATCCAATAATACGTACATTTCTTTGTCATATTTTTTTCGTTAATTTGTAATAAAGAAAATTATTGAGAAATATATACATGGATATTTGGTTACAGAAGCATGATGTAATACTGAATTTTTTTGTCTTTTTATGATAGAGAAGTTTTGTAAATATAGTCGTTAAAATGTCATTTTTTGACGTAACACCTAATCTGAAAACGAAATTGATTAAAGAAAGAAATTGCGGTCGGAAAATTAGTCAGTTAAGGATTTTTGGTGATTTTCTTGATATATTTGATTAAATTATTGTTTATTCTTGTCGTGAACTCGTGTGTGGGCTAGGCCCAATTTAGTTTATTAGATTAGTAGGTTAATTGGGGGAAGAAAAACACACAAATCAATTTAATGATTTCTGTTCAGTGTTCAAAAAAAAAAAAAAAAAAAAAGATTTCTGTTCTTGCCGCAAACTTCATTCTTCTGTGAGTACTTTTCTTCTTGACCTCACCGTGCTTTTATTTTGTATTCTTGATGTGAAAAAGTGAATGAAATCATATAAGTTTTAGATTTTGTTGTTCATTCTTCAACGATCCCTAGCGGCACGATTGATAGAGCTTTGGACCTGGTATTGGTTAAATTGATTATAGTGAATAGAGATTCTAAGAACCTGATACTTGATTTGTTTCTATTATTCGATAAATCACTAGGTTCATGAATCTATAGGTTTTAAATAGTGTGTCGGATATATGTATTTGTATGTATGAGTGGGATTTTTTTATTTGATATATATGACTTTATTCACTTATGATCCATTGATTTATTTGGTTACGAGTCTTCTATTCTTATGAATGAAGTGATTATTGTTTTAATCTAATATACCCAATTTGAGTTGGTATGTGCTGTTTGGAACTGATTTTTTTTTTTTTTGACTTTTGTGTCTTTTAACTTTCCAGTTTTTAATCCAAAACACTTACTGCATGCAAGTGCAACAAAGCTAATCCATGAAAATCATTTTAAATGATGAATACAACAATACTCGAAAATTTAAATGATGACGTCAACTAATAAAGAAGAAATTATATTTCAATGTCAAAAATATAAATTATTTAATAAACTAGATATTTACACAAAAAAATATCTTGGCGCATGATACTTAATTCATTTTGATTACTTACACCAAAAAAAAAAGAAAAAAAAAAAGCTTATTGGCATGCAGAGTACAAATACCGAGGAAGATATCTAAAGACGTGTTTAAAAATGAAGAGACGATAAGAATCAATGAGAGAACTTCAGTGCTGGGTTTGAGTTCTGTCCAATAATACATCACCACGTCATCATTTTTGTCCTTTACTATCTCATTACATTCTTCTGTTATTCCGTTATTCGCCCAATTCTTACAGTCATTAGCCATGTCATCATTTTTCTCTTTGAAGCCGCCAAATATCAAAAAACACAAAACCTTTACCCGAAGCAAAGTAGCTGCTTACTTGCCATATTTATAAGCCATGTTTCTTCATCTAAAGCAAAGTATTTTCGAGTTCTTGAACCAAAAAAGATCAAACAATGTCTAAAGAAGCTGAGATGTCGATCGCGGTGTCGGCTATGTTCCCTGGTTTTAGATTCTCTCCGACCGATGTGGAACTTATCTCGTACTATCTTCGTCGTAAAATCGATGGCGATGAGGACTCTGTTGCTGTGATTGCTGAGGTCGAGATTTACAAGTTCGAGCCGTGGGACTTGCCAGGTTTTTCTTCGGTTTTCTTTCTCTTTATGTTTACTTTGGTTCACTAATTTGAATTTTTGTGCCTATAAAACAGAGGAATCGAAACTGAAATCGGAGAACGAGTGGTTTTACTTCTGCGCGAGGGGGAGGAAGTACCCGCACGGGTCACAGAGCCGGCGAGCCACAAAACTTGGATATTGGAAAGCGACTGGTAAAGAGCGGACTGTTAAATCGGGGAACCAATTTGTTGGAACCAAGAGAACACTTGTTTTTCATATCGGTCGGGCTCCTCGAGGCGAGAGAACCGAGTGGATTATGCATGAATATTGCATCCATGGCGCCCCTCAGGTTCTTCAAATTTTGATTTTAAATTTTGAGTTTGACTCAAAGAGTTATTTTTTAATTAATGTGTGGTTGACAAAAAAAAATTAAAAAAATTTGAGTTTGAATGTTTTGAGATGTAATGATATTTGGATTTCACAGGATGCATTAGTGGTGTGCCGGTTAAGAAAAAATGCTGATTTTCGGGCTAGTTCGAGTCAAAAGCAAATGGAGGATGGTATTGTGCAAGACGATGGCTACGTTGGCCAAACCGGTGGTTCGGAAAAGGAGGAGAAATCGTATTCCGTTTATGATCAGCTACCAAATGGTGACATCGCAGAATCATCAAACGTTGTTGAGGTCAGCTTGCTTTTGAGGAATGTGTCTTTTAAGGATGTTTAATGCTGGTAAACTGATCCGCTCCAATCTTAATCGAACTTAGATATCTTACCCGTAAACCAAATCAAATTCAAGATAGTTAAAAACTGGAATCACCTTCTCATTATCCGAAAAACAGAACCGAGTAAGATATTAAAACAGATTCATACTTCATTAGATTTTACTTCAGTTCCTATTATCCTAAAGCAGATTCGAAACTTAAAACGTAACAAACCAAGATATCATATGTTTGGTTTTTATTTTGGTTACTAATATTATAAATCTATAGACCCGAACCAATACTTGAGCTGAACATACCTAGTTTTCTTTTATTGTTAGTGTTTATAGTTCGTAACTGAATTTGATATATATCTTTCTTTTGAGATGCAGTATCAGGCCGATACCGATGATGATTGTTACGCCGAGATTCTAAACGATGATATAATAAAGCTCGATGAAGAAGCATTGAAAGCTAGCCAAGCTTTTCGACCAACTAATCCAACTCATCAAGAAACAATATCCAGCGAGTCATCATCGAGTAAGAGGTCAAAATGTGGTATAAAAAAGGAATCAACGGAAACAATGAATTCTTACGCTTTGTTCAGGATAAAGAACGTTGCCGGAACCGACTCCAGCTGGAGATTCCCGAACCCGTTCAACATCAAGAAAGATTATAGCCAGAGATTAATGAAGAATGTTCTGGCCACTACTGTTTTCTTGGCTATCTTATTTTCTCTTTTGGACTGTATTAATAGCTAGGAACTATAGTTAGTTACGACATACATGTCATGTCCTGTTCTGAGTTCTGTCTGACGCACACTTATTACTACTTGGTACTACGAAATACGAATATATTGATAGAGTAACTCCACCTGTTTTGTATGTTTGTAAATATTTTCTATACACGCATAACAACAAATGGTCTTTGCAATATGGATTACGACGAATTAATGAATCACACTGCGTTTGTTCTTCTCAAGTCTCCTAGTAATCTGTATAAATTGCTAGAATGTATAGGGACTTAGACCATTTCCAATGGTAAGAGCCCATGAGGGACTCTTACCAATTTTCTAATTTTAAATTTTGACAATTTCAAAGTTTAGGAACTTCTCTTAACAATTATATTGTCCAATGGTAGGGTTCCTTAAGAAATAAATTTTTGAAAACAAAATTTGGTGTTTGGTGTTTTAAAGTTTGAAAAGATAGAAAAGAGACAAGTGAAGTTTGGTGTTTACCAAACACCAACTTTTTAGACAGAGATACAAAGGGGATAGACAGTGCTAACGTGTGCAGCAAAAGGTGAAACTTGGTAAATTGGTCGATTTCTTCATAAATCTAGAATGTCTGTAGAAAAGTCGTAAGGACTAGCAAAAATGTTTTTGTCTTTATAGACAGTTGGCTTACATAGTACGAAAGGGTGTATACATCAATGTACAGTCAATTTTGGAAAATTCTAACAAATGTGGCTAGGAGCCATAAATTTAGTTCGCTTACTTTTCTTGAAGTTGCATCACCACCACATGATATGTGAATTTTTTCATTTGAGTCATCCCTTGTTTCATATCCAGCAAAAATATGAGAAGCATGAAACTGTTTCTTTTACTTTCTTTCAATACTTTCATGTTACTTGAAGCATATGGTTTTACCGATGAAACTGATCGGCAAGCGTTGTTTGATTTTAAGTCTCAAGTTTCTGAAGACAAAAGAGTTGTATTGTCCTCATGGAATAACTCATTCCCTCTTTGCATTTGGAATGGAGTTACATGTGGCCGCAAACACAAGAGAGTTACTCGCCTGGACCTCGGAGGATTGCAATTAGGCGGAGTGATATCACCATCTATTGGTAATCTTTCATTTCTCATATCACTTAATCTCACAGAAAACTCTTTTGTTGGTACCATCCCTCACGAGGTGGGAAACTTGTTTAGACTTCAACACTTGAATATGAGCTTTAATTTTCTCGAGGGAGAGATTCCAGCAAGTCTTTCTAACTGCTCTAGATTGTTGAATCTTGGTTTATATTCAAATCATCTTGGAGGAAGTGTTCCTTCAGAGCTAGGATCATTGACAAAGCTTGTTGGTTTATATCTTGGTCAAAACAACCTAAAAGGAAAGATCCCTTCGTCTCTAGGAAATTTGACGTCACTCATATTTCTTGGCTTGGCAAATAACAATATAGAAGGAGGAATTCCAGAAGGTATAGCTAGATTGAGTCAAATAGTTGATCTTGAATTATCAATGAACAATTTCTCTGGTGTTTTCCCTCCTGCTATCTACAATTTGTCTTCACTTGCATATTTATCCATCTCTGCTAATAGTTTCTTCGGTAGCCTGAGGCCTGATTTTGGTAATCTATTACCAAATATTAGAACGTTATATTTGGAAGGTAATCATTTCACAGGAGCCATTCCAGAAACACTTTCCAATATCTCAAATCTTCAAGTGGTTGCAATGGAATATAACAATCTAATGGGAAGCATTCCTTTAAGCTTTGGAAAAGTACGGAATTTGCAACTCCTTGAACTTTATGGTAATTTTTTGGGAAGTTATTCTTCTGGAGATCTTGAATTTCTTGGTTCTTTGACTAACTGCACCCATCTACAGACTTTGAGTGTTGGTGAAAATAGGTTGGGAGGTGATTTACCTGCCTCCATTGCCAATCTCTCCATAAACCTCATCCATTTAAGCCTTGGAAAAAATCACATCTCTGGAAGCATTCCTGATGATATTGGGAATCTCATAAGCCTACAAACATTTCAGTTGGAGAAAAATATGTTGGTTGGACCACTCCCAACCTCTCTTGGTAAGATTTTACACTTGGGGATATTAAGTCTCTATTCGAATAGAATGTCAGGAGAGATACCATCTTCTCTAGGAAATATCACTCGGCTAGAAAAACTATATTTGTCGAACAATAGTTTTGATGGAATTATTCCCCCGAGTCTTGGAAATTGTGCTTACCTTCTACGTTTATATATGGGATCTAATAAGTTGAATGGAACCATACCTCGGGAAATTATGCAGATTAAAACCCTTGTTAACCTAGGATTGTCTGATAATTCATTGACTGGCTCTTTACCAAATGATGTTGGAGGACTAGAACTTCTGGTTACACTAACCGTTGCGCATAATAAATTATCTGGCAAACTTCCACAAACCTTGGGGAAATGTCTCTCATTGGAAAAACTTTATCTACAAGGAAATTCTTTTGATGGAGATATTCCAGATATAAGAGGTTTGGTGGGTATTCAAAGAGTAGATCTGTCAAACAATAATCTCTCTGGAAGTATACCTGAATATCTTGTGAACATATCTTCGTTGGAGTATCTCAATCTATCCTTTAACAACTTTGAAGGGAGGGTGTCAACAGAAGGAAAATTTCAAAATACTACTATAGTTTCAGTACTTGGGAACAAACATTTATGTGGAGGTATCAAGGAACTGAAACTAAAGGTGTGCCATTCGAAAGCACCAACAATAGAGAAAGAACATTCTTCTACTTTCAAGAAAGTTGTGATCGGGGTTTGCGTGGGCATAACTTTTCTTTTGCTCTTGTTGATAGCTTCGGTTTCTTTATGTTGGTTTAGAAAGAGGAAGAAGAACCAGAATTCCACTAATCCAACTCCTTCTACCTTAGAAGTCTTCCATGAGAAGATAAGTTATGGTGATCTTCGAAATGCGACAAATGGCTTCTCTTCAAGTAATTTGATTGGGTCAGGCAGTTTTGGTACTGTGTTTAAAGCATCCCTCCATGCGGAGAACAATGTGGTTGCAGTGAAAGTTCTAAACCTACAAAGACATGGAGCAATGAAAAGCTTTTTGGCAGAATGTGAATCCTTGAAAAGCATACGGCATCGTAATCTTGTGAAACTATTGACAGCTTGCTCGAGTATTGATTTCCAAGGAAACGATTTCAGGGCTCTTATCTATGAGTTCATGCCAAATGGAAGCTTGGATATGTGGCTGCACCAAGACGAAGTGGAAGAGATTCATAGGCCATCAAGAAATTTGACGCTTCTTGAAAGGTTAAACGTAGCGATAGATGTGGCTTCTGTTTTAAACTATCTTCATGTTCATTGCCATGAACCTATAGTTCATTGCGATCTTAAGCCAAGTAACGTTCTCTTAGACGGTGATTTGACTGCACATGTTAGTGATTTTGGTATGGCTCAGCTTCTTCTCAAATTTGACAAAGAGTCCTTTCTCAACCAACTAAGCTCAGCCGGCGTTAGAGGAACTATCGGCTATGCCGCACCAGGTAAAACTATCACACATCTATAATGTTCTATTTAAAAGATTTATGTCTTCTTTTCTCATTACAATATTGTCGTCGTTAAATTTTGGATTTATGGTACAGAATATGGAATGGGAGGACAACCATCAATACATGGTGATGTGTATAGCTTTGGAGTTCTCCTTTTGGAAATGTTCACTGGAAAGAGACCTACCAATTTGTTATTTGGGGGAAACCTTACCATACACAGCTTCACCAGGTCGGCGTTACCGGTAAGAGTGTTGGAGATAGTAGACAAATCGATTATTCGCAGCGGCCTAAGAATTGGCTTCCCTGTTACTGAGTGCTTGACACTTCTATTGGAGGTGGGACTTAGGTGCTGTGAAGAATCTCCGACAAAATGGTTGACAACGAGTGAAATCACAAAGGACTTATTCTCAATACGAGAGAGGTTCTTTAAAGCTAGAAGAACAGCCAGACATTGATGTGTACATACTTTGCAATACACTTTAAAAACTGAATTTGATGCTTATATAGTATCGTCTATGTACTCATATACATATGCTTTAATTTAAATCAGTTTTTTTCCGTTTAGTTCCCAATTTTATTTGGACTTTCTCGGCTCTTGAAATCCACAGTTTGGGTTTCATTTTTTTTTTTTGGTTGTGTTTTTTTTTTCATGGGTGATTAAGATGAGTTTTTTTTTTTTTTTTTTAAGTTATGCCTTTCTTACACATTCTAGGTCTTTTGTTTGTCTTTACGAGATTAGTACTAAAAACCTCTATAAATTAATAATATCAGAACTATAGAGGTGTGAATTTATCCATAAACTTATTTACAGAGAGATTTGACTAATTTCATTTTTTTTAAAGCCTTTTATTCAAAAATAAGATTTTTTTGGTTATAATCAATATTTTTTTAGAGGATATTAGTGGGTCTACGCGCCCACGAAGTGTTCGTTTGTAAGTTTTTTTAATTTAGTTTTAATAAAGAAGAGAGACATTGTCTCCCTCAGATTACCAAAAAAAAAATATATATATTTTTTTAGAACAGTTACAATTAAAAAAATCAATTCTTGTGTCTAAAAGAACACAAAAAGTTTTCGATGCAGTATAAATAATAGAAATCAACTCTAACAAACATTAACAAACAAAAAAACAACACTAGAGTCATATTTTATCAAAATGTTTACATATAATATATATATATATATATATATATATATATTGACATATTTAAATAACTATTTTGAATTAAATTACTGATGAGACAATATATTTACATAGAGTTTTGAAAAAATTAATTTGTTTATCTTATTATCTTACCAAATTGTATCAAATATTACACTGGCCTAACTTGGGACCGAAGTAATTTATTAATAATTTATCGAATATTTAGTGTATTTTTTTTTTGTCGGCCAATTTTATCATCATTAGATAAAAGAAACTTAGTACATCGTTTTAACCATACATCAGAGGATATATGAAACTACATAAGGAGAATTATTTGTTCTGGCTTGTTTTGCTAAGAAATCAGCGTGGACATTAGTTTGTCTACCAATGTGTTTGAAAGTATAAGAGCTTCACGCCAAGGCCAGAATGTCCTCCACATGTCCTTGAATGGCAACATGTGGTCGGGGAAGGTGACTCCCCGGGGCGGATCTAGACAAATATTTTGTATGGAGCACAATATATTTTAAAAATAATATTTCTTGAATCTATTTAATATTTTATATATTATTTGAAATCTTATATGCATATGAAAATATTTTTTAGATTAACTAAAGACAGATTAATAAAATCAAAATTTAAAACTGACATTTAAATAAAGAGAGCTAACCAAAAACAATATTAGAAGAGTATTTGGAGAACTAATAGAAAATGAAAGAAAAAAAATTGCAGCATCAAAAGGGTTTGAACTTGTGAGTGATGGGATGCTTATATAAAACTCAACTAAAATATGCTAACTTATTGTTACAAATCCCTAATACAAACACAAAATAATAAGTTAGTGTGGGGCACGTGCCCCACCTCCTTATAACCTCCGTCCGCCACTGGTGACTCCGACGACTGGGTGAACTCTCTAGATAGCGATAGATCTGCTCGGAATCTCCATAAAATTAATGATATCGGAACTATATATAGAGGTATTAATTTATCCATAAACTTATTTACAGAGAGATTTGACTAATTTCATTTTTTTTAAAAGCCTTTTATTCAAAAATAAGATTTTTTTTTTTGTTATAATCAATATTTTTTTAGAACAGTTACAATAAAAAAAATCAATTCTTGTGTCTAAAAGAACACAAAAAGTTTTCGATGCAGTATAAATAATAGAAATCAACTCTAACAAACATTAACACACAAAAAAACAACACTAGTGTCATATTTTATCAAAATGTTTACATAAAATAGTTATTTAAATATGTCAATATATATATATATATATATATTGACATATTTAAATAACTATTTTGAATTAAATTACTGATGAGACAATATATTTACATAGAGTTTTGAAAAAATTAATTTGTTTATCTTATTATCTTACCAAATTGTATCAAATATTACACTGGTCTAACTTGGGATTGAAGTAATTTATTAATTTATAGTGATTAATAATTTATCCAATATTTAATGTATTTTTTTTTTGTCGGCCAATTTTATCATTAGATAAAAGAAACCGTACTTAAACTTAGTACATCGTTTTAAACTTAGTATGAAACTACATAAGGAGAATTATTTGTTCTGGCTTGTTTTGCTAAGAAATCAGCGTGAACATTGGTTTGAAAGTATAGGAGCTTCACGCCAAGGCAAGAATGTCATCCACATGTCCTTGAATGGCAACAAGTGGTCGTGGAAGGTGACTCCGACGACTGGGTGAACTCTCTAGACCGACGACTAGGTGAACTCTCTAGATAGCGATAGATCTGCTTGGAATCTCCACAAAAAGTAACGTTTGTCATAGCCCAGAATCTTCTTTTGGAAAAGAGCTTCACTTAGAGCTATGGCCTTTGTCTCTAATGGTGAACCTGTGGTTGCTATCGACGCTGATCCCTTGGAAATATGTTTACCTTGCCCATCATGTAAAATTTAGCCAATGCGTACGTGCATTTTTTTTTTCATCAAGCCATGAAGCATCTACACAACATCATAACTGCATAAGGTTGATATTTGTGATATATAGAACTTGCTGTAGAGAGGATGGTGACTGAGTTCTTATATCTGCTCTGTCCTCTTTTTTGAACTCAACAGCTTCATTCCATAGTCTATAATCCACTATGGCTTGATGAGTAATTTGAGGAATGGCCCATTGTATACTTTTGAATATCAAATCGTACCTTGCTTTCCATATACACCAACCAAGGAAGGGGAAGAAATTCTCTTTTTTTATGCTTGGAAAGTAAAGCTTGAAGATATTCTGTAAAATCATGGGCTGAAGTAAACTGACCTGAAGTAAATCTCCCTTGCTACACGGCACTGGAAAAGAAGATGTGTTATAGTCGCTTTTTTTTTCTCCACAGAATAAGCATTCTGATATGATGTTTATGCGCTTACATCTGAGAGCTTCTGCAACAAGAAGAGCATTATATAATACATGAATACTTAGTGTATAAAATATTTAACTATCAAACAACTACTAGGAAAGATTCAAAGATCATTTTTATTTTATTTTAACTAGGAGATGGGTCCGAGCGTTACCGTACGGAGAAGTAAAATTCTAAAAAAAACAAAATGTTGTTCGAAACAAATGCTTCTGGTCAATAGAAGATAAAAATGGTGACTCTTGGAACAGTCTCTTCTAAAGATTAGACATCTAGCATAACTGTTTATTAAGTGTGAAGTTGAAAATATTGATAGAACTCATGCTAATTTCTCGCATGATATTTGGAATCCTTTTAGTCCACTCATTAAATTTTTGCAATTGAAAGGACACATTCTTTGTTTTCTTGAATTTTCGAGGAAATACCACAATCCTAATTAATTGTGACTTTTCTCTTTAGGTATTTGTTCTCTAACTAACCATCAAAAAACTCATTGAAAATATTGCTCTATGGAGCACTTTTTTAAAACTCAATAACATATAAGGCACTTTCTTGCTAGTAGACACTTTTTTCGTAGTGTTTTACTCTCTTACCCTTTAACTATCTTCCAAACACATTCTGATCAAGTTACGTCTCATTTATTCCAAATATTTTATAATAAATAAAATTAAAATATTTATGACTCTCTCTCTTTCTTCTCTTATCTCACCCTCTCTTCAACTTTTTCCGCTGGCAAAAAACAAAGAGAAACAGAGACATATGAATTCAACTTCTCTTCTCCTTTCTCACCCAAATATTTCAAACACTTACAATTAGGATAAATCAAATATTAAAGCAAAACAGAGATGCGTATGAATTTTCGGAACTTCAACGAAGATAGTTGCACACTACGTTACATGGAAGCGTCCCCGAAGCACGGATTCAGATCTATCATTAAAAAAAATCAAGATTCAGATCTAAATGATGAAGATTCAAAAACTGTTTCTTCCTCTTCATTCCTTCGTGTATATTGGAATTAGAACGAACAAAACAACAAAGAGGGAGCGAAAGAGAGCCCTTTAATCTTATAGCTTTTACCTCTGTAAAAGAGATAGCGAGAGAGAGAGGGGCAACAATTCAAACCGATTGTTGAAGAATTTTGGAGGTTAGGTTCCGATTTTTCTACTCAATCTTTTTTTCTTAAATATTTTGAATCTATGTTTAAATTGGTTTTGCTTAGATTTCGATTTCTCAAAACAATATATGCTCTTTGTAGGTTGATTAGAAGATCCCATTAATGGAGGTGTTCTTCTTTTTTGGATGAATTGCATTATTTCGTGTTTGAATTTTTTAGTCAATCCTTTTGTTAGGGTTTAAACTAGATAGCTAAGAATTTTCTGTTATAACTAAAAGTTTTACTTGTTTGATTTGAAAGAACGGAACTGTAGATAGAGTGTGTAACGAGATTCTCTTGCTTGTTTAATGAGATTCAAATTTAAAGAACGGTTTTTGTTTGACCCACGTATATGTTTTGTTCATGAACCCATGTGTTGGAAATTTCTCTTAATTATTTTAATGTTTTTGGATACTTTGAATTGTTCTCTTCCTTGTGTACGTACCGAGATTTGAATTTGTGTTATTGATCAAGTATAGATTTAGTGATCTTTCTACTACGAAGGCCATCGACGCGGCGTTGATAAAGGAGCAGAGTTGATGAAGGAGAAATGGTTCATGCTTCTTTATGTGAAAGTTTTTTGTTCTTCTATGGTGAAATTTGTTCTCCATTTCGTAGTGACCAACAGTTCCAAAAGAGATGGACGGCAGTGGTTGAAACATTGTGTAATGTATTTGACATCTTTATGTAAATATGGATATGAGATCTTTTATTTGTCATGGTTGTCTAATGGACAAATTTATGTGGACATGGAGATGAGAACATTAGATTTTTTTTCTTTGTCATGGTCATCGGCTAATGGATACATTTATGTGGACATGAAAATGAGAAAATTGGTTAAGAAATTAAATCTTGATGATCAACTTTTAATAACACAATTGAACTTATGTGCTTATCGTTTAATCACCTAAGGACTTTGCAAGCTCTTCTTTTTATTCTAGTTCCCCAAATCAGATAAATGTTAGATTAATAATTGAGAAAACTTATGCTCATCACACTCTATATGAACCTTCTAGATGATGGATTTGAACATATGGATGGTCAAAGAGATTGCTTAAACGAGGTCACAAGTATAAATGCAGAAACCAAAAATATCTTGGAACTAATAATTCAAGTTCATCTTCATATCAAATATCTAGGGTTTAGGGGTTTATAGTATATGGTTTAGGGTTTAGGGTTTAGGGTATAGTGTTTAGTCTCTAGGGTTTAAGGTTTATGGTATAGTGTTTAGGGTCTAAGGTTTATGAGCACTCGTGGTGGTCACTTTTGGATGGACACAAATATTCTGGATAAGTTACCGTGGCACAACGATTAGCCTTTGTTGTTTTATTCTAAAGAACACACAAGTTAACACCAAAAACATTGTATCCATGATAATTAGTCCACATAACCTTGTTCATGATGCAATACGCATTACGAATTCTACACAGTTTCGTCTTTGCATTGCTAAGAGAACGATGTCCATCGAAGATAGTATATGTGGATGATGAGTTATTAACGATGAGCTAAGCTCAAGCCTTTTAATGGTGATATAGTATAAAGTTTTTTTTACTTCCTTTGTATGAAATGTCCATTGAAAATAATATATGTGGATGATGAGTTATGGACGACGAAACACAAGTTAACTAAATCGAAGTCAACACCAAAATTGTTGTATTTGTGAAGATTAATCCATTTAGTGTGATTTTTAGATAGAAAACAGAAAAAATGTTAGGAGATTTCGAATACCAAACAAGCAGAACACTTATTATTGAATATGGGCCAACTGGAAAAGAACTTAAGAATTTAGGGTTTAGGGGGTTAAGGGTTTTGAGTTTAGGGTTTAGGGGGTTTTAGGGTTAAGGGTTTTGAGTTAAGGGTTTAGGGTTTAATGTCTAGGGTTTAAGGTTTAGTGTTTAGGGTTTAGTTTATATGGTTAGGTTAAGGGTTTTGAGTTTAGGGTTTAGGTTTAGGGGCAGGGATTTAATGTGTAGGGTTTAGAGTTTAGCATCTAGGGTTTAGAATTTAGGGGTAGGGTATAGGGTATTTGTATATGGTTAAGGGTTAAGGGCTAAGTTTCTACGGTTTAGGGTTTAGGGTTAAGGGGTTTTTGTTTAGGGTTTAAGGTTTAGGTTCAAAGGCTAGGGTTTAATGTCTAGGGTTTAGGGTTTAGGTTTTGAGGTTTAGGGTTTAGGGTTAAGGGTTAAGTCTTTATGGTTTAGGTTTTAGGGTTAAGGGTTTTTAGTTTAGGGTTTAGGGTTTAGATTGAGGGGCATGGGTTTAATGTCTAGGGTTTAGGGTTTAGTATCTAGGATCTACAATGATTTTAGGGTTTATGGTTATATACTTCTCATTAGAGTGAATAAATAAATTAGACCTGAATTGAAATGATTAAGTGGTCATAGTTTGGTGGATGTGAGTGTATGGGCGGTAATTTTAAATGATTGTGGTGTATATTTTGATGTAAAATTGTAAGAGATTATCATGTGTTCAAGATTATGTGGATAGTCTCTATTTTATCCTTTAAAAATATTTTTGTATTATATTATTATTATTATTATACTTATAAACTATAGTAAAATGGATCTTCAAATGTAAAGAAAAAGTAATTATAATTTATTAAACAAAAAAAAAAAAATGTGTATGTCTGATTTAGAGCTTCTAATCTTCTTTTATTATAATCTACTTACTAACCAAAACCTTCATTTCTCTCTCTTCACAACCAAACCTCACTCCTCTCTTTACACCAAACTCCACTACAAATACCGTGCACATCCACAGCCATCAGATCTTAATGTTAAGTTCACATCGGACGGTCCATAATTTTTACAGATTCTTTTGCTTTTTATATGATTATGAGTTTGTAACTAGATGGGGGTAAAATGATATTGATTTCCCTAAAAAACTTAAAAAGTGACTAATACCCCCAAAGTGCCTCAAATGCTCTAAGAATCTAAAAAAGTGCCCCATTGAACAAGAAGCCCAAACTCATTAGGTATTTTTTCTCTTTAGGTATTTCTTCTCTTCCGCCGGAGTTTCATCGAAAATTGTTTTCTCCTTTTTGTAACCGTTGAAAGATTTGTAAGGCCTTAGCCCAGGCCCAATTAGGATGATTTTCGTTTTTCATCAATATATTATTAACTATTAAAAAAAAAAGAATATGATACTATTATAGAAAAAAACTAACATCGTTTTTCCTGTTCAATTCCAAATACAATTAGTAGGGGAATTGGATAAGAAGTAAGAAATGAGAACTATACAGATCATCGTTCTACTACGGAAGGAGATGAGCTCTCAATTAACAACAAAATCTGTATGGTGGATAACTTGAATAAAAGGCAAATTTAATATCTTTCTTTCTACGGTTGGATTTTTTTAATTTCGTATAAATATGAGATCACACAGTTTCTATTTTAAATATGATATCACCTTGGCTGCGAAGAGGTGAGATGAAAGAATACAAACATTGAAAAAAGAAAAGAACATGGATCTCAACCATTTGATTAAGTACTTTTTTTTTTTTCGTCTGAATAATAATATTAAACCTTTGAAAGATACAACGATCGGCGGAAAGAGTTAATATCCCCGATAAGATAAGTCGGCGGAAAACAGTGATATCCCCGAAGACAAGAGCCCAAAAGAGGGAAGCTAACAAACAACCAAAAACAAGACCATAAGCTAAAACTTAGAAAACGAACCAATAAACCTCCAATGAGTGAAATAACTAGGAATCACGAGAATCTCAAAGGAAAAGGCCTGAACTTGAAACTAAGGGATCGACGCACGAATACCTTATTTGTCTTGTGGAGAGGAACCGAATCAAAACCCATTGAATAGCTCCTCTCTCTGCTGAAAGAATTGATAGAGCTTTGGGTAGTATTAAACGTTCCAAACCAACCCCGAGAAGTCGATAATCTCAAGTGGAAGAGATACCGCTTATGATGGCAAAATAGCGACCCACGAACTCCAAACGAAGCAGATCTTGATGAGACAGAAGAACTAACCAAAGAAGTTGAGCTGAGAGCCAATGGCAAAAGGCATCGAGTCCGTCTCACCACAAAAGAGAGATTTTCCAGGACATTCGATACGAAACACAACACCAAGGCAGAGAAACAATGGCCAGAACGGAAACTTCACTCAAACAAGATCCAACCACAGAACAGACATAGACTCCGCAAAAAGAAGATTCTGAAAATTCATAAACAATCAGGAGAAGAATCTGCCAACTAGAGCAACATACCCGAGAAGGTGAAAGAACCAGATCTGAAATTCACGGCCATATCGCACCACGAACTGACCGGAGTCACCATCGGGCCTCACAAGAGAAGCAACCGAGCAGCCAAACCAAACCAGAAACGACTTCAAAACCCACCTGGGATAAAGCAGTCGCGAACCTCGAACAATGAAGCCGATCCAAGGACAAAAACTTCTCCCTCTTCCTAACGAATAAGCAAAAACCCATCGCAAAGAAGAAACTCACCGGACGAGTAACAGGCCAGACGAAATTGGTGGAGAGAAAAGATCGAGCCGTGCCATTGAGGTGTCAAGAACATCAACCGATTTGCGACGAGAGCAACACCATCTCCGATCTCGACAAGAAATCCCAATCACTCGAAAAATCATCTCCACCAACACCCAAACAAAAGGAAGAAGAAAAAAGCAACAAATTACACTAAAGAGGCATAACGCCGGTGCTAAAGGAGCCACTGGACGTTGGCCGAACACAAGCGGCGGCTGAGTTAGTTTTGAGAAAAGAGAGGAGAGAGAAGAGTGCAAATTAGGGTTTTTCCGAAATATACATCTTCTTATTTGATTTTTTCTTAATCTCAATCTCAGTTCCTTGGAGGGTCTTTAATGATGATGATTAAGTACTTTAATCTGAAGTATTGTTTTTTGGGAAAATTGGAAATAAAGGATATCTACTCAAAAATTTGTCCATATACACTTTTTTATGAGATTGTCAGTTTGGACGATTTTACCCCTACACCCTAATTTAAATATTTTTTTAAAAAAGAATCATAAAAACATGTAGATATACAAGAGTAGAGGTGATTTGAAGTGGAATTTTTTAGAGTTGGTTTTTAAAAAGTTGATTTTTTGATAGATAAAGTTTCATCTAATTTTGGTAGAACACGTTTTTTAGAGTTCTACGAAACTCAGAATGTGTATTCTGCATTTTTGTACATGTTCTACATATTTCAGACTAGATTTATGTTCTGAGAATTTTAGAAATCCGAAAATCATATATCTAAAATATTTAGAACATGCATTCTACGTTTTGCTCTATGTTCTAAATATTTTAGAATAGCCGTTCTAATAATTTCTACATCTTCTGCTATCGTTAGAAATTGTAATCTTCGTTTAGAATGTAAATTCTACGGTATTGTAGATTTCGATTTCTGTAATTTTTAGAATGCTCTAAATATAGAAAATAAATCTTCAGAAAAGGAAACAAAATATGTTTTTTAGATTACGATTAAAATGAATATTTAATGTTTAGATTTCGATCTACATGATGTAGGAGTTGTTGTCTACGGTTTTTAGACTAAGATTAAAACCTAAAACGTTTTCTAAACCCTAAAAAGCTACACGTCTTTGTCCACCACTTTCGTTTCTAAAAAGCTAAGAACACGTTTTCCTTCAAATTTAAGTTAATAACTTCGAATGTTTTGTAGATTGTTAGATTATTTCATATGAATGAGCCTCGTGGATCAAATGTTATTTCTTCTATATCCAACCTTTGAAGAAGTGATTGGTCAATTTGTATCAGAACAATAGCCTCACACGTCAACTAGGAAAAGACCAACCTAGTATCAAAAGTCCAAAGCCGCATTATTGTTGCAAAATTTGAGATTCCAAATAAGATAAAAGTGGTTTCTGTCCTTTTGAAAAAAATATGAAATAGAGAATTTTGAGAGAATCAATTATTGATCAAAGGTCATACAAACGCCTAAATAATTAGAAAAGAAAAAAACAAAGGTCATACAAACTAGATGTCGCAAGACTAGTACATAATCTGTTTGGACGATAAAAAAAACCATAATGCTAATTAATCTCAATCAATTTCAAGGATATCCGACGATTGATGTGGAGGTTTATAGTTCTTCATTCGCTCAATTAAGATAGGATCATGAGCATCCTCCCAAAGGTCTACAGCAATCTTCATGCGCGCCTCTTTGACGTTCCCATCGTTTATCAAATCCATGCTTAGATTAAGCATATGACAGAATTTAAGAGCTGAAAGTTACAAATATAAATTGTTGGGTAAGAGTTATTTCCTGTAGTTCTCTATAGATTGCTCAATACTCAGACATAAGTGAAAGTACTTTGATAGTTTTATTATGCATATGAAACAAGGCTTAAATAGCCAACATTTAAAGACATAGTCTTCTACGTCTTGTTAACTGAAAATACAAAAACAGAACCAAAAATATAGAGCAACTAATTGACTCCTATATACATGACATTATTTAAAGATCAAAGAATGATTCACATATGTAATTACGGGTACATGTCTATCCACATATGTATAATCCAATACACACCGACAGACATGAAAGTGAAGGACTCTAATTATCCAAGTAATTCTGTAAACTTAAAAAAAAAAACAGTGTTTATGTCAACTAGTGTAAAGTAACAGAGAATAAAAGGTTTTTATATTTTGAACATGGGCTTTAATGCTTTTTATTTGGTAGACTCTATGTTTGTAATTCAAACTCTAGCAATTGATCTATGTGGTCATTGATGACACTGTGATTTCAGTCATAAAATTCTGCCTAAATCAATGAATTTGAACCCAAACACATATACATTAACATGAATCAAAGAGTGAAAGACTTATTCAATCTACATTCAATTGAAATTTGGAAGTTTAAAACTCACGAAATTGAAACCTCTAATCAAGTTACAGAAATTCAAAGATATAACAAATCTACTTTTAAATGTTGTTAGTGTACAGAGAAGAAACAAAATTGGGGAACAACATGTGAAGCCCGAAACAACAATTCTTTGAAACAATGTGCATAAAACTCTGTTTAAATCAATGAATTCGAACACAAACACATATAAATTAACAAGAATCAAAGAGCTAGAAGACTTAATCAATCTACATGCAATTGAAATTTGGAATTTTAAAACTCACGAAATTGAAAACTTCTAATCTGAGCAACAGGAATTCAAAGAAATTAACAAATCTATATGCAAACTGAAATAAACTCTTGCAATTCACACTAAATTGAGAGAACAAACCGATTCATAATAAGAAGAAGACATAATTTCAGTAAAAAAAAAAAGGGAAACCTATAAGAAAACAGAGAAGGGAAAGACGAACCGGGTAGGAGGCTTCAAACTGATATCAAGAGAAAGCAAGACGGCTGACGACTCACCGGCGACAACGCTCGAGAGAAGGCTGAGGAATCGCCGGCGGCAAACACTGTTTTTTTCTCCGAGAGTTTGTCTTCGAGAAGAAAAAAAATAAAAGCCTAAGTTTTTTTTAAGTCTTATAAAAGACTTATTTATTTGGAGGTTTGTGAATTTTCTATTTCTATTTTAATTTTGTAAAATCAGTTATGAAGTCTTATTTTTTTAATTAATTTTGAGAGAAAATGGGGGTAAAGTTGGGTTTTGATTTTTTAGAAAACCTATTTGACCAATCTACAGAAAAAAAGGGATATATGGACAAATTGTTTAGTAGATATCCTTTATATCTAATTTTCCCTAGATACTTTGCAATGGCCTACAAATATTAAAGAAGTAAATTTCTAAAGCAAATATCAAGTTGTTGAATATTACATCATAAGAGCATGATTAACGGGAGTATGTTAGGGTGATCTTAGGAAAATCTTAGGTATAAAAGTGATTAAATTTAATGCATTTTCTCCTTTTATACTAAGGAACGTTCCTTAACTAAAGAACAAAATAAGTCTTAAGAAACGTTCACATGGCGCGTTGTGAATGGGTAATCCAAGAAATATATTTAGACAAAAAAAAACACACGCGTTTTATTTTTTTTCTGTTTGTTCTCTCTCTCTCTCGCAAAAACGGAGAAATCGGAACCGAAGAAGCTTGCCGTAAAGTCAACCCAAATCGGAGTAATCGGCTCTGTTTTCTTCCTCTGGCCGTCGTTGCCGCGTTACCTCATCATCCCCACCGACGGTGGTTGTCGAGGGATCTCTCTGTTCACATAATCGGCGAATCGGGGCGTACGAAATCAGGGCTAAATTCAGGAGACTGTCGATTTTTGATTCGAAATCGGTGAGAATCTGTTTGTCAAGGTAGGAATTGATCTCTGTTTGTGTTAAATTATGTGATTTTTGCTTTTTAAAATTAGGGTTCGTACGAAATTAGGGTTTGACAAAATTAGGGTTTGACAAAATTAGGGTTTGTTTTGTTTCTGGTCTTATGTTCATGATGTAGATTTCGCTTTCTTGATTGCTTTTAGATGTTTATGTGATTGTTCTTGTTTTTGTATAAAAGGCAAACAGCGAGCATGTACAAGAATGCTAAGAAGAAGATTGAGAGAGATGTTGCTTTCCCTACATGCATTTCTGTGATTCATTTCTCACCGCTTGCCAGTGATGAGTCTGTGTTGGAAGATGGTGATATGGTTAAAATGTAAGTTGTCTTCAAGTAATACCCATTTTAAGATGTGTCCGTATGATTTACCTGTGTTATTACTGATGCTGTTTTGCGTTTCAAATGAGGCCATAGTTACTTTGATGTGGGAATGTTTTTTAAATAAAGTTTCTTGCTATGAGTTTGTATTTTCTTGTTTAATCATACAACATATTGCAATCAAGACATTGATATTCTGTTTTTCTTATGGCAGAACACTGATGTAACTGAAGCTATTCAGAAGGTGGCTGCAGCTTATGACTGCAAAATTGTTGAAGGTGGCTGCAGCTTAATCGTCCAACCCATTATCCAGAACCCCAAGGTTTGTTTGTCATGTTTTGTTTGACAGATTCAGTGTGATGAATTTGTTTGAATCATTTTTTGAATCAGAAGTTCAGAACCTATACTTGCTTAATGCGCTCATGTTAATGGAATTCTGTTTGGAGTCAACTTAACGTTTTCTTGGTAATAAGGTTTGTGTATTAGCTGAAACAATTAAGTTGATTAAAATGGGATTCAAGAGGATATTAGTAAGAAGATGTTATGCATTGAGACTGCCTTTCTCCTTCTGATGCTTCTTTTCAATATAGTTCTGCATTTCTTGTAATGCTTCATAAATCTGTCATCTTTATACTTTTTCTTTTCCACGTGAAGATTTCTGAGCTTGGTATCTATCCTGCTGTGGATCCTTTGGTATAATCATATGATTTTGAAACATTTTGCTGTGAGTTCCTAAAAGCTTTCAATGCTCTCTTAAATGTCTGTGGATTTCAACTGTCTTTCAGTATAGAAGACTTCTTTGTGCTGTCTATGTCTAGATGACTCTGCCATAGATAGATTTGTTGTTATCAAATGGAATATGTAGAGTAACTGACCCAAATCATCTTGTGATTGTTTCAGGGTTTGTTGGATGGCAAGTACGATGATCTTTCCGAACAATCGTTTTACATGGTTGGAGGTATCGATGAGGTGGTTGCAAAGGCAGAGAAGATCGCTAAAGAGTCAGCAGCTTAAGGGATTGATTCAGCTCTTTCATGCTTAATACTTCTCTTAGAGCTGGCAAGATGATACTGAACAGATCCATTCACTGTTACTCAAATTTTTTGTTGTTTTGCTTCCTTTGTTGAAATAAAGATTAAAAATCTTGCAGATTCTAATTGCAATGTATGTTTAAGAATTTTTGATGTCAGTCTTTTTGTTATTTTGTTTCAAAGAAAGGTGTGCAAGTGTTGGTATGATGATATATCATCATCATTTACCCATCGCAAGCAATATAACATCCCATTCCTGAAAAAGTATCACTATATTGAAATATTGCAAATGATCTAACAACATTACGTCACATTACATCTTCTTCCATACCCTTTCTGTTATGCTCTTATATACAACCAAACATGTATGAATCAGAAGCCGGTTTTGTGCATTGGCCTCACCAGAGACCACAAAACACACAACTCTCCATTAGAAGCTCAAGCTACCTTCTTTTAACAATGTTTTATGATCTCTTGGCACATCGACCTGATCTATCACATCCAACACTTTTAAACTTATATATCATGTATGTTATAAATTGTATCTCATGTATGTTTTATTTTTTTTTAATTTGCAACAATTATTAAATTTTCTATAATTATAAATTTTATTTTTATATTAATATTTTTTTTTTCTAAGAACCACACGTTAAGAGCCTACCATTAATCACACAAAAATCTTAACTCAAAAATACTATCTCTTAACAATAACTTTTACAAATAAATTACTTAAATATTGCTAAGAGATATTTCTAAGAGACTACCTATAATCGTGCTCTAAGTCATTGATGTAAAGAACAAACAAAAAAAATTCTTGAAGATAAAAAAATGTCTAAACAATTAGATGTGAAATCGCACCTACTAATTCATGCAACTTAAAAACCTCTACAATATCAATTTTATTCAAAACAGATAAATTTGGAAACAATTTCTGCTTTTGGTTTAAGATAATTTAATTAATGGGAGATTGACAAAAATAGATATTTGGATTCGCGGCATCACGAGACCCTGGCAACTTGGCCTACATTTTAACCATACGTATGTTGTTGAGTGTGTCAAAACGAAAACAACCTCATCTTTACCAATAATTCACATCATTAAGTATTTTGAAATTTCAAATGATTAACTTAACTCTGTAAGTTAAACATAAGAAAATATCATTATTTCAATTTTAAACAGTCGATATTGAAAAGGGCAAAATACATAAACCCACATTAGATAAAATGTTGAATTAACTATATATATATATATATATAGAATAAATAAATAATAAAGGTAAAACGATTTGCTTTCTTTTTTTTTGGTGGCTGAAAAAAAACAAATGGCGATGATGCTTCTGCAAATCCCTCCTTCGTCTTCCTTGTTGAACACCACAAACCTTCAAATCCGATTCTTCAACTCTTCAATTCCATCTTCCTCGAAGAAATTCAGATGCAGAGCCGTCCGTGAGAAAGCGGAGGAGATTGAGAAGAACACTTCGTCGCCGTCTCCTCCTCCTCCTCCTCCTTCTGCTGAAGAAGTTACCAAGAAATATGGCCTCGAAGTTGGTCTATGGAAGGTAAAATCAATTCGGTTTTGCAATTTCTTGTGTTAATTCGTAATATGAATTGTGTTAATCTTAAATTGATGGTTCTGAGTTACAATTTAGACAAATTTTGGTAATTGTAGAAGCTATCAAGCTTTTAAGTGTACTACAATGGTGTTTTTGTATGAATATGTGAGGAGATATGATCGTTTTTGAGTTAAAAGATAGGCCAATTTAGGCAAATTTTGGTGGTTGTTGAAGCTATGGAAGCTTTTGTGTACTAAAATGGTGTTTTTGATGAACATGTGAGCAGATATGATTGGTTACTGTAGAGCAATTTTGGTAGTTGTAGATGCTATGGATGCTTTTGTGTACTAAAATGGTTTTTTGGATGAACTTGTGATTAGATATTGAGCTCTAAGGATGATGAAGGAAGTGATGGAGAGGATAAGAAGAAGAAATCAAAGACAGATGAGGCTAAAGAATTGCTTGCTAAGTATGGTGGTGCTTATCTCGCTACGTCAATAACACTTTCTCTCATTTCCTTTTCACTTTGTTATGTCCTCGTTACTTCAGGTGTTGATGTTCAAGCTCTTCTTCTAAAGGTTACTACTTTCACTTCTTGGTCATACTAAGTTTATGTTTTCTTGATCTTGGATTGAGTAAAGCTGATTTCGATGTTTTGTGTTAAAGGTTGGGATTTCGACGAATGAGACTGGAGAGAAAGTAGGGGCTTTTGCTTTGGCTTACGCAGCGCATAAAGCTGCATCTCCGATTAGGTTTCCGCCTACGGTGGCGTTGACTCCTATTGTAGCCAGTTGGATTGGGAAGAAAGTGGACAAGGAGAAGGATGAATAGTAGCTTATTTCGGAGGTATTATAATGTAGATGTTCTATATACTACTTGATAATCAACATACAGAATCCTATACAATCCTCACTTATCTATCTTGTATGTAAAAAGATTGAAGCATATCTGAGAATATGATGATGAGTTAGAAAGATACAAAATCCAAGTTGTGAGATAGTTTTAGACTTGTCTATCTAAGATCTGGTTGCTTGGAAATTACGACTTTACTGTTCACTTACTCTAGACATCTGGTAAGAGGAAGAAGTAGTTGTCAAATAGTTGGGAAGGATCTCTGTGATCCAGCATATGACCTGGATCGTTTTGGTGATGCAATTTAACTTTTGCTCTATTTGTGTCCATTTCTGTGTACATGGTGGAGCTTGTATTTCCTCGAATTGGTTCAAGATATGTAAGACCTTGACAAGGATCGGTGACATTATTCATGCAACAATTCTATGCAAAGTTGAGTAAGTGCAGTTTTTTGGGAGATGTAAATTGGATTTCTCGGACATGTTGTTGACACTCCAGCTTCTGAGACAACATGTCCAAGAAAGATGATCTACCTCTACCAAAAACTTTACTTACTCAACTTTGCATATAGCTATTGTTCCTGCAGTTTATCCAGCACAACCCGCATGTGTCCCTCATGTTCCTTTCGACTCTTTGCTAATATTAGAATGTCATCGATGAATACCATCACACGTTTATCCATGTATTTCTGAAAGACATTATTCATCAATTTCATGAACACATCCAAACGACATTACTACAAACTCGTAGCGTCTTGTCCTATTCCGAAAAGTTCTCTTCCGTATATTTTCTTCTGCTATCAAAATTTGGTGGTACTCTGCCAAATCAATCTTTGAGAATCACGCCGCTCCTTGCAGCTGGTCCAACAGTTCATCAACTCATGGCAGTAGATACTTATTCTTCTTTTTTTCACAAATAACACTGGAACCGCTCGGTCGGATGAACCCTCAACATGTAAGATCCTCTAATTGTTGCTTCAATTATGCTCCTAAACGGTAAGGTGCTCGTGATAGAGGAGACGTTTCTGGGTACGATTCTATAGTCAAAGTGTCCCTTAAAAGACTCAAATACGTCCCCGTATGCTGCCACTTCTGGAATATCATCAACTCCCAATTAAAGAAATGGTGGTGAGGAAAACAGTATTCTCGTTCTCTATTAGCTCCTTTACTTGCAACATAGATATGATGGAAAGTCTCTCGCTCTTTTTTTCTTTCTTGCCTTAATGGCATTGTCTTGCTGCTCTCTAACTGTCTCTTTCCCCTTGTTAAATTTGTTTTCACACTTTTTGGTTGGTCTTTATTGTGAGCTACCTGAATCGGTCTGTTGTCGTTCTTTATCGTGTATAGTGTCACTGGTTTGGACTTGTTTCGTCCGCTATGGTTAGCTTTGCTCATTTGGAGTAAGAGAGGTCTTTTAGCATTTTTTCTTCATTAACGAACTTGTTTAGTCTTTGTTTATCTTTCTGTCTTTTGTGGATTATCTCTATCCTCTTTACTAGCATTCATGTAATTTTTGGGTTTTTGCTTCTTTTTTTTGGGTTTTGTTTTCTGGATATCCCGTTATTATATTGGCTTATGTAATTACATCATACATTCTAGAGTAGCAGTGAACCCTAAATAACACAATATTAGGAGGGATAAAAAGAGTTGAACAAAATTATTTTATTGGTTTTCTCGTACTGCGGGATTTTTTTCGCTAATTTTTGTAGTTTCAACTCAAAATATTGATAAATAATAATATAGTGGATTAGCTAATAGTTTGAATAGGTTATTCTCTTAATTTTTTATATATAAATCAGAGAGTGATGAGTACGTGAAAAACTACAACATCAAATTTTTGAGATTTCTATAATCTTAACATTATCATTTATAAAATTGGTTTAACACGAAAATTATGTAATAATTGTGTGAGTGATGAATTATTGAAAATATTACTAGAAAAAATATTTTAATACTAAAATTAGTTAATTACATAAGTAAATAATTTGATAATTTAAAATTATATTTATTAAAATATAACATCAAAAAAACCAAATTAAACAGCTGGAAAAGCCAAACATGAAAGATCTACTAATAATAAAAAGGCTTTGGACAATAGACAATGGACAAAAATAAATAAAAAAATAGAAAATAAACAACATAAATTACCTAGAACCTCCTTATCTGGGCCCATCAAAATATAAATACAATTGGGCCGTAACAATTGGGCTCGTAACTAATCATCTAGAACCTCTATCCTCCCTTCCTCTTTTCACTTTCTTCAAAATCACACAACTTCACTAAATTCCTTAATCCTGGCAAAAGAGTCCAAAATCACACAAATCAATTTTTTGAATTGTAACCCTAATCGATTCAATAACGAAATCGACCAATTTTATGCTTCGATTTGATTAGGGTTTTTTCCCAGAATCTGCGAAATTGCCCTAATTTTCTGAATTTTCAATCGATTTCGCAGAAATTGGAAGAGAAATCGAAGATGAAGAAGTACGGATTGCAAATCAGAGCTCCGTCCCAGAAAAAACAATCATCATCTAGACCTCCACTTCGACTTGCTTCAATATTTGGTGAAGAAGAAGATCACGATGTCGAGAAGGAGATTTCTCGTCAAGCTTCAAAGACTAAAGCTCTTAAAGAAGTAAGCTTTTTTCCTCCATCATTCTTTTTGACTCTGTTTCTGTTTCTTTTTTTTTCTGATTTGGTTGTTTTGTGTTTGATTTTAGATTGAGGAGCAGCATAAGAAAGCCTTAGAGGAGGATCCTTCTGCTTTTGCATATGATGAAGTTTATGATGATATGAAACAGAAAGCTGTTCTTCCACGAATGCAAGATCGCGAAGAACGCAAGGTAATCTTAATCTCTTGCTCTGGGAAACATTAGGAAGCTTAGGTTTCTGTGTTCTTAAGAGAATCTATAATCTGTAGCTGACATAGTTTATCATATGATTGAAGTGTAAGAACCCATTGCTTATATATAAGTAGAGGTGAAAGTTTTTGAGTCTCTAAAGGCGTCACTTTTATCAGTTTCTTAGGGTGTTACATTCTCTGTAGTTTGTGGCACTTTAATTAGGTTTCAGAATGACTGATTGGGTTGCTTGTGTCTCATTTGATTTTATTTTTTTAATTGCAGCCAAGGTATATCCAGCATTTGATGAAACAGGCAGAACGTAGAGAGAAAGAACATGAAATAGTTTACGAGAGAAAGCTTGCGAAGGAGAGGGAGAAAGATGAACATCTTTTTTCAGATAAAGAAAAGTTTGTAACTGGTGCTTATAAAAGGAAACTTGAGGAACAAAAGAAATGGCTGGCGGAAGAAAGATTGCGTGAACTTCGAGAGGAAAGAGATGATGTAAGTTCTGTTTCCTTGTTCATTTTATTTCATGTTTGTGTTTCTATCTCTCTAGCCTACTAAACTAGTGCTTGCTAGGATAGCTGGAGTCCTAGGTTTGTCCTTTTTCGGTTTTGTCTTAAGTAGCTTTGGTTTGGGATCTGTGTCAAGGTAGTCTGCTTGATCATCTTTTATTCGTACAACCTTGTTGCATGTCGTGGCTTTTAGGACGTGATGGGTGGGTCTAGAAATCGTTTTCTTGTCTCTGTATTGGCAATGGGGAGAGAATATAGCTTTGGTGGAATTTAAATTGATTTGATTTTATAGCTATTCATACTCATGTCAGCTCTTTTCCTTTGTTCTCATCTTCTGTTAGGTTACAAAGAAGAAAGACTTGAGTGATTTCTACTTCAACATTGGAAAAAATGTGGCATTTGGAGCTCGAGATATCGAAGCTAAAGAGGTAGAGAGACTCGAGGAACAAAGAAAGGCTGAGAAGCTTGAGGAACAAAGAAGGGCGGAGAAGCTTGAGGAGCTGAGAAAAGAAGAAACAAGGGAGGAGAAGAAAAGAAAATCACCAGAGAAGGAATTGCCAGAGAAGGAATTGTCTCCTGACTCAAGAGATTTTGGATCAAGTCGTAGCAAAAGTTTGGAGCCACAAGAAGCAGAGCAAGCAGTTTCTGAAAAGAAGATGGGTTCAGATGGTACTGAAGAGAGAGACTCTTCAATCAAAGAGGCAGCAAAAGAAGTGCCGAAAGCCGTTAACGACCACAAGAGAAGAGAGGATGCGATTGCTGCTGCGAAAGAGCGGTTCTTGGCCCGTAAGAAGGCAAAGATTGAAGAACTTGTGTAACTTGGCAGATTTTTGTCCAATGATCATCAACTTTTGGTGAACTTGTCTTTTGTTTGTCGACCACCCTCTGTTTTAAAGTAACTTTTCATGATAACGCTTCTTAAACTACAGGGTCTACTTCCATTACAAATGCAATAGGTTGGATGGTAAACAAAGAAGAGAATAAACAAAAAAAGTTCCTTCATTAATTAGAATTTATATACAGAGATGACACAAACTTAATACTCCCTCCGTTTCACAAAGAGTGTCGTTTTAAGGTTTTATTTTTGTTTCACAAAGAGTGTCGTTTTAGATTTTCAATGCAAAATTTAATGATTTTTTATGTTTTATGACTATTAGTATTCTGCAGATTGTTTTACTATTGGGCAGATTGTGTTTAAGTATATAGGTAATGATGTTTTTGTTTAGAAAAAACAAAAAATTTAATGTTTTCTTAATCTGTGTGCAAAACTCTAAAACGACACTTTTTGTGAAACAGAGGGAGTAAGATTTAAGAAGAGAGTTTTCTGAATTTGATATCAGTCAGAGATTGAGATAAAGAGAATACAAAATTTGATTTCAGAATTTGATACCTCTCCACTCTATCACTCCCGGTTAACGCCACTCCAATTCCTCTGCCTCACACCACACTATCTTCCCACCCACATAACAGTACAGACATACTCTATCATATATACCATCCCCTTGTATCTCCTATGGTATTCCACCTTCCATCTTTTCCATATGCTTTCACTCGTGATGTAAAATAAGCTTTTACCGCCATATTCACAGCGAAACCCTTCTCCTCCATTGCCGCGCTTTCCTACATTACGGTGTAGCTTCTTCTCATCCTGCGGCATTGGCAGGGTATCCCAAGTATGTGTTTTGGGGTCGAAAACTTCTCCCACCAGTAGGAATTCGGGTACAAGGACGCTCCCAACAACTAGTATATATCTTCCCTTCAACCAAGACTGCTGCAACAGAAGCTTGAGCTACACTCATGGAGGGGGCAGTGCTCCACGTGTGAGATCAGCGACCCAAGAACAAACGCTTAGCGAAATCCTCCCGCTGATCCTTCCACCGATCACATAGATACTTCCGGAGGCTGATAGAAGTATGAGCGGATTAATTCAGAACCATCTCATCTGAGAGTGAAGATATCCAACACATTGATGGGGACAGAGACAGAGAAGACAGCTTCAGTTTCTTCTTATGCGCGGAATTTGACATTGAGATGGACATTGTCAGGGTCAGTTTAAATGTCCTAATGAATATAGGAAAAAAATGAAAGTTAGAAAGTTGAGGAAAAAGGAAACTTTAGAAAATTAGAATTTGACAGAGAATTAAATAGAAAGACCCAACACAACTTGAAAAAGGGTTTTATTTAAGTTCTGTTTCTTCTCGAGCATTGTTTTTTAGTCATTGACGACGAGAGAAATTCATTCTGATTTTTAATTCCTGACAAGTGCAAAAATCTATAGCTAAACGAAACCATTGGCGATTACTCTGAGATGGAACCTTTTAGTGCAAGTTTTGATTCTTCAAACCCATTAGGGTTTTTGGAGAAAGTCCTTGACTTTATTGGGAAAGAGAGCAACTTTCTGAGGAAAGACACGGCTGAGAAAGAGATCACCGATGCTGTTACGGCCGTGAAGGAGAGGTTGAGGGAAGCAGAGAAGAAGAAGATGACGGAGTCCATGGAGGTGGAGAAGGTGAGAGCCTCGACGTTGCCGTTTAATTCAAGTTTTGATCTTTCAGACCCATTAGGGTTTTTGAAGAAAGTCCTTGACTTTATTGGGAAAGAGAGCAATTTTCTAAGGCAAGACAAGGCTGAGAAGGAGATCATTACCGCTGTTACGGCCGCGAAGGATAGGTTAAGGGAAGCGGAGAAGGAGAGTGTAAAGCAAGCAACAGAGAAGATTAACAAGTACGGACTGCAAATTAGGGCTCCGTCACAGAAAAAACAGTCATCATCTCGACCTCCACTTCGGACTGCTTCAATATTTGGTGAGGATGATGAAGACAACGATGTCGAGAAGGAGATTTCTCGACAAGCTTCAAAGACCAAGGCTCTTAAAAAGGTATTGTTGACTCATCATTCTGAGTTTCTGACTCTGTTTCTTATGTACCATTAAATTGTATCTTTTGTTAAATGATTTGTTTGTGTTGATGTAGATTGAGGAGCAACATAAGAAAGCTTTGAAGGAGGATCCTTCTGCTTTTGCATACGATGAAGTTTATGATGACATTAAACATGAAGCAGTGCTTCCACGAATGCAAGATCGCGAAGAGCACAAGGTAAATCTAATCTCTTGATCTGAGAAACTTTATAAATCTATTTTCCATGTTTATGTGTTACCAAAATATGTCTTAGATTTTCAGAATGACTTATTGGATTGCTTATGTCTCATTTACTTCTTTCTATTTGCAGCCAAGATATATACAGCATATTATGAAACAAGCAGAACGTAGAGGAAAAGAACATGAAATAGTTTATGAGAGAAAGCTTGCGAAAGAAAGGGCGAAAGACGAACATCTTTTTTCCGATAAAGAAAAGTTTGTAACTGGTCCCTTTAAAAGAAAACTAGAGGAACAAAAGAAATGGCTGGCGGAAGAAAGATTTCGCGAACTTCGAGAAGAAAGAGATGATGTAAGTTCTGTTTCGTGTCAACGCTTTGCTTGTTCATTAGATCATGTTTGTATTTCAGTCTCTCGGACTAGTGCTTGCTCGGATAGCCAAAGTCCTTGGTTTTTCCTTTTAGTTTCTGTCTAATGTAACTCAGGTTTAGGAACTGTTTCCTGGTAAGTTAGCTAGATCACAATCTTTTCTTGTTATAATATTGTTGCATGTTGTGTCTAGAAATCATTTTTCTTGTTTCTCTGTTTTAGCAATTTGTGAGGAGATATAGCTTTGGTGGATTATAAACTGATTTAGTTTCTATTGCTATTTTAACTCATGTCAGCCCTTTAACTTTGTTTTCATCTTCTGTTAGGTTACAAAGAAGAACGACTTAAGTGATTTCTACTTCAACATTGGTAAAAATGTGGCATTTGGAGCTCGAGATATCGAAGCTAGAGATGCAGAGAGACTCGAGGAGCTGAGAAAGGCAGATAGGCTCGAGGAGCCGAGAAAAGAAGAGACAATTAAAGAGAAGAAAAGAAAATCACCGGAGAAGGAAGTGTCCCCTGACTCAGGAGATTTTGGATTAAGTAGTAAAAAAAGCGTCAAACCGCATCAATCAAAGAGGCAGCAAAAAGAAACGCCGAAAGCCACTAGAGAGGATGCGATAGCGGCTGCAAAAGAGCGGTTTGTATCCCGTAAGAAGGCAAGGATAGAAAAGTAGTAGTGCAACTTGGCAGATGTCAGTCCAACGGTCACCAACTTTTGGTTCCTGATAATCGATCAACCTTTGTTTTAAAACTTTTCTAGATAACGCTTATTCAATTGTAATTTTATTTGCAAAACTTGTAATGTAAAATTCATCATAAGGTATGTATTTCGAGCCACGACGGTCCACTCACTTCCAACCTCGCTATAGCTACTCATCCAAGCCATTGATGCAAAATCTGTAATTTGAAGGACAGCTTATGTCTCTGATTTGGATCAAGAACTTAAACCTCTCTTTCCTTTAACATAGTTCTACGCTCTGTTTTAAGCTCTGTTTTTACGTTATTTCAAATGAGTTTATATATAATGTAAACAAGGTTTTTTAGTGAATAGAGTTTATATTCTTTCAAACAAATAAAAACTTGTAATTCTTAACGAAATAGTTTTTTTAAAAAAAGATAGATTGTGGATACCTAACATAAAGTAAGTAAAATAAGGAGAGAATGGTGTCCAAGTCTTTAAAATAAAATAATTTCCTCAAAGTACCAAAATAAAGGTTATATGTATATTATTCCGTATATATGTTTTGTATGAATCAAGAGTTCAAAATTTAAAGATGGAAGTGTTGAGAACAAGGGAACACTGCTCTGCTTGTGGAGCTTAAATCGTCCAATATGAGCAAAACCGGACATCTTACGTGCAAACCAAACTTTCTGAACGAGAAGATCCCACTCTTCCATTGGAACTTTATATCGGCTATAACGTAACCGTCGGCAATACCGTGGCTGACAAGAAAATCCCAGGTCCGCTTAAGATTGTCGTTATTGTTTGCTAAAACCGCTGTCCAAGTCGTAACTTCACGAGGCTTCTGCCGCTTGCTTTGCAAGAAAACAGTCTCTGTCTCGAAGTCTCCTGGGACTAGGACGTGTAGACTCAGTTTGCTGTAGTAAACACTTGACTTGGAGCTTGGGTTGGTAGATGACAGATTAACCTAGATAAACCACAATAATCATATTATTAGGGTTTAGAATAGCTTTATACTTTTTGTAAAACGAACAAAGGAAAAACTTGAAAAGACTTACAAATACACTTGGACTGTGAGGATCAACGTAGAGATCCTCGAGCATGAACTGTGGAACTCGCGGTTAGTTAGCTAAGTAGCTGAAGGAAAAGACACATATTGTGAGTAAAATTAAAGCCGCGGACACGCCGAAGTAGATTGTTATTATTTTTTTTATTTTATTTTTTCTTTTGTTTGAACAAACAAGGCGAATGTGTTTTGACGCCGCAACACCTTCTTCTTTGGCTTCTGTCTTCTGCATTGTTTAGATTGCTATGTGTACGGTTTCTTCTCTTTAAGCTTTAATGGAACTTATTTGTGTGGTTTTGGATCGGAGTAACTATGATACGTAGATTTATATAGAAAAGCTTAGAGGGTGGAGAGTTTTATGGTTTTGGAAATCTTCTAAAAACAAGAACGGTAAAGAGACACAAAAGTGTAGAAAAGGAAAAATAGAAATGTTTAATTTTTTTATATGGAAAATATGGAAATGTTAAGTAATAGAAAAATAGAAAACATCCTTATATTTTCAACTCTAGTCCATTTAGTCGACACAACCCCAAAATATATCATATTTTGTTAATAATAGAGAAATAGAAATTATTCTTATACTTTTTCTTTTTTCTTATTTTTCAAATAATAACCAATATTTTTTTGAAATCGTTTTATCCTTCAAAAAGTTAAAAACTGTAAAAATAAAAGTTAATCTAACTCAAAAGATGTCCATTATGATTTATGCTCATCTAACGTTTAAGTTGTCTCAAAGAAGTCTGTCTGTGTTCCATTAACGGAATTAAACTGACATGGCAATCAAAACACATTACATTAAATCAAATCAAATCAAATTGTTTAACTTATGGGTCATTTGCAAAACTAGCCATATTTGATAAACTATTTAAGTATATAGCACTATATATGTATAATTTAAGAAACTAACACAAAGAACAAGTATAATGACCAAATGTGGCGGTGGTGGTGATCAAAGCCTTTGAACCGTAGCATAAAAGCATCGAACTGTTTGCAGCCGAAAGCTGTGGCCTATTAGTGAGCTGAACCGTAGTCAAAACATGTTTAAGGGAGATAATACCACGTACGATTGCATATATACTAAAATGATAATCAATTTTAGTAGGAGTTTCGACTATCTCATGAAACACATGGATTTGCGCTGAGATAACGGATTAGTTGTCACAGAAATAAGGAATTGGCCGTCGGACAAAGATGGGCCAATTGACCGAAAGAAAACATGTAATGACAGTCGAAATGTTACAAATTTATGGACATGTAATATAGCAATGTTTGTCTCACACGTATGTCAAAATTCTAAAGTTTTTAGTGAATAAATCGTGAAGTGATCATCACCATAGAATCTGATGGCCTTTGACAATTTCAAACTCAAATAATTGAATTTTGTTTGTACGATAGAAACCGACACAAAATAAATTATTATAAATAAATTAGATACTTACATAATATATTAATTAATGGGAAAGTTACTAGATTAACCCAAATTATGAGTTTAATTACTAGAGTGTCTTAAAAAATTTAGGGGTTAAATGAGTTATTTTCGTGACCATAATACCCTTTCTCTCTTTGTTAGGAATTAAAAAAAAGTCAAAATTACCCTTAAATAAATAATAAAAACGTGGGCAAAAAATATTAGGAAAAAAAAATTATTTGAAAAGTCTGCTGGATAAGTTGTGACAGATTTAATTTCCATGACAGACTTATTTGTCTCCAACAGATTTTTTGCGACAGATTTTTTTTCTCCCACAGACTTACTTGAAATAGGTGACGACAGATATTTAATTTGTAACAGATTTTTTCTCTACGACAGATTTATTTTATGATGACACCACAGACTTTTGTAATTTTGACAGATTTATTAAAATATGTGGCAGATTTATTATTTCAGTGGCGTCAGACTTATATTTTTTGATAAAAATCTGTCATAATGTAGCATATTTGTTAATGAAAAAATAATTACTAGTTTGACTTATTAGTGATAGCAGATTTATTTTATGTTATGACAGTTTTTTTTGTTTTAACAAAAATCTGGAGTGTGATAGCAGATTTGTTATTTAAAAATATAAATTGCTAGAATGACATATACTCGCAACCAAAATGTTTTATGTTATGACAGATTTTTTTATATTATGACAGATTTCAGATTGGATATAAAAAAATTTGTCATTGATAACAGTTTTATTGATGAAGATAGAATTTTAATCTGCATAATCTGGTAATGACAGACATATTCTTACCGCGACAGACTTATTTATATTAAATGACTCATGTGTGGCTCTCATCTTGTTAATATATGATTAATTTTTTTCGTTTTAGATAAATATATTTATTTTTTCGAATTTCTATTTTGTTTTCGTTTTGTATTTTTCATTTCATTTTATATTTTTTTCAATTTTTTTTTTATTTTTTTTATTTTTTTCGTTATATATAAAATTTTTAATCTAATTTTTTTTTTCGTTTTGTATTTTTTTTCGTTTTATATATTTTTTTTCAATTTTTATTTTTTATTTTGTTTTATATTTTTTTCGTTATATATATAATTTTTTTAATTTAATTTTTTTCGTTTTATATTTTCTTTTTCAATTCTTTGTCGTTTTATATTTTTTTTTTGTTTTGTATTTTTTCAATTTTTTATTTAATTAAAATATTATATGTTAATTAGTTTATTTTAATAGAATTGAAAATAAAATGGGTATTTGGTCTTTTAACACAAAAATTGTGTTATTCTAGTAAACCACAATATTTGGGTGTTAATCTAGTTATTTTTCCCAAAATTTGGGTCAAACTAGGTAAATTTCAGTTAATTAATTGAAGGATAGGAAACCACACACATAAAGTATTTTAAGGATTCCTTAGTTTCAATTATTACATAGTAACCCAAAAAAAACCTCGCATAAGTCTCCAGGAGGAGTTGTGTAGTATTTCTCATGAGCAAATTCGTTTTGGTTGCAGAGTTTTTTGCAAGCATTCTCACATAAAAGAATAGTTGCCTTTTTAGAAACTTTCATACACTGATTCGGGACACAATGCTTAACACACACTTCTACCGTACTCGCGTATGTTGAAACCATCATCGTAAATAAAACTACAATCATCAAAACACTGTAGATCTTTTTCATTGTTTGAGTCGCCATTATTTGAAGAGATGAGTTTATGAGTGTTCAAGCTTAATAGAATTTTGATTATGTTATATAGCAAACAGAAATTTAACAGGATGATTAGTATTGAGTTGGCTTTCTGTAAATTTTTACTTTATATATCAGAAGTTGTTTTAACCAATCTATAAATTATTTATATTGGAAGTCTACATGTGTGTTTTTTTCTTGTTGTAACCAATTTTTACATTATTTGAGTATTGTTTTTATAAGTTCGAGTTTCAGGTCGCGCGTTCGTTCAATGTAGTCATCAGGTCGGTTTTGAAGACTTCGGCTGCTTGGCAAAGTATGATCGTTCCGCAAGCTCTCGCGAGATGCTCGTCGACAGATCCAACGATAATTGATGCCGGCCGGCGGCGTTGGTTTTCCGCGCGTTCGATAGTTGGGGTACATGGAGACGGCAGTCCTTCCTCTTCATCGCGAGGTTGGAAGTCACGTCTTCGGCGCTGTAGTCGTTTGATCTGATTCTGGGAAGCGACTTGTGCTGCTACGAGGGCATCGATCCGTTCGGTGGTCCGTGCGTCCTCGACGTCATCTAGTTCTAAGATGGTTTGAACGAGGTTGTCCAGGTGGGTACCCTGGACTGTAGCTCCGGTACGTCCCGGTGCGGCGCCTACGGTTGCCCATGCTGCGGCGGCTGCTTCGACTGTGGCTGCTACTGCTAGTTAGGTAGGAGGCAGTGCGGCGTGAACAACATCAGACTCTCTCCCTGTGTTAGGCGTGAACAAGAGGCGACGCAAGGGTTCCGGTTTGACGCGGTCAGCTACTGGGTTTTGCGGAGGTAGTCCCTGCGCGTCGGGCGCTGTTGGTATGCCAGTGTTGGTTCCTCGGTCGCTCGAGGTGTCCATCATGTTGTCGCAAATCATTGTAGACTTGGGGTGCATCTGCTCGTCAAAGAAGGGTAGCTTCGAACTAAGCCCCACGGTGGATGCCAATTGTTTGTACCAAGGTTGTAACAATGAATAACTAGAGGATTTTCGGGGAGATCGAAGTAACTTCTGTATTATTGACGAACGAGATCGGTGAATTACAGGAAGTAAATGACGAACGAACGAGCGTATCAACTGGAAGACAGAAAATGACGAACGAACGAACGCATCAACTAGAAGATAGAAAATCACGAACGAACGAACATATTAACTAAGAGATAGAAAATTACGAACGAACGAACATATCAACTAAGAGACACAAAATGACGAACTAAATACAATGAGATCATATACGAATCTTTATCTGGTTCTCAGGGTATTGATTTGTGTACCTCTTGTCATAAATAGTGCTCTATTTGTAGGACAATGTTTGTGATCTAGAGTCCCTTGTGACTTAGAGTCCCTTGTGCTCTCTTTGCAAATTACCATTTTGCCCTTCAAACTTAATGGGCAGATTTGGAGTAGACAACATGCCCAATAAACATCAGAGTTTCTTTTTGGGACAAATGACATACAATGGGTGAAGCCCATATCCAACAAAAAAATCTTAAGAGTATAAAAATAGACAAAAAAAATCTTAAGAGTATAAAAATAGACACAAAAAATAAAATCTGAATTCATCATTTTTATAAACAATTTCGAAATCTCAATTGACAAAAAAAAAACTAGAAGTGCAACAAAATTTTTGAATGTGAAATTAACATAATATCGTAGTAGATGTAGTTAAAAATCAGATCAAGATCACCATCTCCTTTTTTCTTGAGACAAAGTCTCTTCCCCACCACCTAAAGAGCAAGTGTTCTTATTAGTAATTTAATAACTACTCCTATTAAACATACAATAAACTATATTCCCTCTGTATTGTTTTTGTTGTTATTTAAGGTTTTTTCACACAAATTAAAAAAACCATTAAATTTTATGTTTTACATTTTATTAATATATTTTATAATTTTTTCCTTGGACAAAACATTAAATCAGTAAGGATAAAACTGAAATTTTTACCAAAAATTTGCATTGAAAACTAAAACGACAACTATTATAAAACAAAATTTAAGTTCTAAAACGATAACTAAACTAAAACGGAGGGAGTATTAATTAAAAAAAAAAGTTTAGATTATGCTTTTTCACCATTCTTGGGATAATCTTCGAGAATTTCAGTTTTTAACTCCTCACAATCAAGTAATGCATCTCGTTCTTCTTCACCAATCCAAAACTCGGTTTTATCAACATGCCATTAAGGACCGGATCTCATCACTGCAGCTGCCAACAACATCGAAGCTACACGGCTTGCGGATGCGTTGGGAGGATGCTGCGACGTTGCTAAGAGTTTGCTCTGTTTTCTTTTAATCCCCTGTATTTTCCTCCTCTGTTTTGGAGTCACTTTAGTGTCATTTCTTTAAGACTCTTTCTTTTTCTTTATACCCATTTTCAACATATATAAATTTCACATTTAAGCAAAAAGGAAAAAAATTTCCTTAGAGAATTTCTTCTTCTATGAAAATAATTGATTTGTGAAGAATACTATTATATAATAAAGTAGACATAGGAGGCTTAGAATAAAGTTGAGAGTAACAGATGATGAAATAATGCAGAAAGACGTTCCCACCAACAATTACTTGTTCATATCACTAGAAAGCCCGAGTGGTTATAAATTACTCGCATCGATGAATCCTGTATACACTACAAACTCAGGAATCCAAGATCCTAGAATCTTCCCAAAGAAACCATAACCATTCAGAACATTATCTCTTAATCATCTCTCTTACTCAACAACAACAAAGCGACAGAAGCACTTCTCGCAAGAGAGACAGAAGCACTTCTCGCAAGAGAGACAGAAGCACTTCTCGCAAGAGAATATGCGCCACGGACAGCAAATCTAGATTCTATAGTCATTTCATTCAAACCCCACAAAAATGTGTCACCACAACTCCAATTAGCAAGAGAAAAAACTTGAAGCAGAAACAAGAATAAGGCCTTACCACAAAATAAGAAGTCAACCAAAACCTTGTTCCTCTATGAATCATTTATTAACCCACCAAATTCTCCAATAAGAGTAAGCATGCATATTGGCTAGTTCTTAACCTAACGATTCAACCATGATACATTCTCAAAAGTGACTCAATCATGACACAAACTTTCGATCTTAGCAGGGCATAAATACAGGATAACATATCATTTGAGAATCACCAATATAAACCTAATAAGAACTCACTAGAACCAATCATTCCAAAGACAATTAAGTTTCATTATGTCCAATCATGTCACAATCAAATCCTAATACCACATTCGTATCACCACAACTCCAATTACCAAGAAAAACTTGAAACAGAAACCAGATTATGGTCTAACCACAAAATAACAAGTCGAGCAAAAACATGCTCTACTATGAATCATTTAGTTACCTGATGAAACCCACCAATTCCCCCAATAACAGAAACCATCCCTATTGGCTATTACTTAACCTAACGATTCAACTATAATACAATCTCAAAACTAACTCAATCATGCCACAAATACCAAATAACATATCATTTGAGAATTACCAATAAAAATCTTAGTAAGAACTCACTAGAACCAATCATTAGAAAGACAATTCAAGTTTCATTATGTCCAACCATGTCACAATCAAATCGTAATACCACAGTCATATCATTCAAACCCCACAATTGTGTATCACCAAAATACTCCAATTACCAAGATTATGGTCTTACCACAAAATAACAAGTCGAGCAAAAACATGCTCTACTTACCTAATGAAAACCACCAATTCCCCAATAACAGTAACCATCCCTATTATCTATTACGTAACCTAACGATTCAACTATAATACAATCTCAAAAGTAACTCAAACATTCCACAATCTCTTAAGTTCCCATCTTTGACATGATAGCAAACGCGAAAAGTCGAACTCCAAACATATCATTAGTAATGTCAATAGAAGAAACTCAATTGTACTAATCAAATCTTCAAGAATTGAAACATCAACAATACATAACAAATGAGAAAGCTAAAAACTGAATCTTTTTCCATTCTTTCCATCATCCAAATCGAAAAACATAGTCGATTTACAAAAGATTAGTTAAGATAATATCCCTAAAGTGAATAAAACTCAATAAGTTTTGCATCTTTTATCAGAACCAACCATCTTCCCTGAAACACTACTCACCGGAAGACCAACAACAACATCATCACAATAAACCGTAACATATCGCCTCCTCCGAAACGCACCGTATCGAAACGTTACATAAGAAATCATCCTCAAATCAAACTCAACACTTCCTGTAACACTTCTCTCTTTCCCAATAGAATCAGCTAATCTTCCATCAACATAAGTACCAGAAACAGAGAGAGTCGCATTAACCACCGTTTGATCTTTCTTTCCTTGATCAAACGGTTGTAACCTAGTCTCAGAGAGAGAAACACGATTGTAATACATAGCACAAAGAGCAGCATCGTAGTGAAGTGACATCTTTGAATTAGGGTTTCGAAATTGGACTTGAAGATCCCATTTACCAGAGACTTGATTGTTGGAGACGTTGAAATTGGAGACGGAGAGTGAGTTTAGGTAAACGTCTGGGAGTTGAGGACGAACGACTAGGAAGAAGATGAAGAGGATTAGACCTAGGATTAGGAGGAATGTCATGAAGACGATGAAGAGACGGCGGATTATGACGGCGCGTGGGTTTGGTTGAGGTGGTGCGTAGTATGGGTTGTGGTTTTGGTAGGGGTAAGCGGTTCCGGTGGCGGCGTTTGGGTAACCGTTGGTGGGTGGTGGTTGTTGTGGGTTTGGGTATGGGTATGGGTATGGGTAACCAGTAGCGGGTCGTGGTGGATCTTGCATAGCTTTTGATTTGAGTTTTTTTGGAGATCTTTAGGGATTTGAAGACGCGAAGATGGTGAAGAAGAAGAAGAAGTAAAGGGAAGTAAGAAAAAAAAGGCAATTTAAATAAAAAGGAAATGCAAAATTCTTACGCGTTTTGTTTTTACTATTTTTTTAACGCGGTTTGTGTAATTGTGTTATATTGTTATCCCTGTTTACTAGTATTAGACCCAAAAAGTGGTTTCTAGTATAGCTGAATATTTTAGCTGAAGTAAAAAAGTTGATTCCTATATTATAGGGGGAATATTGCTGATTTGGGCATTTTTTGCCCCAAAAATTTGAGAAATGGAATGGATATCAGGTCTTCACGTTTTAGGCATTTCTTGAGTAAGTGTTATTACCAATCTATCCTTTCCTTTTGTACAATCTACTCATTGCTTCTTCTTCTCCGACCACAACCACCGTATTTCTCCGATGACAATTTTGATTTTCCGGCCACAACAATTATTGCTTTTTGAAGAAGAAAACTAAACCCTAGGATAATATTTAGTAAACCCAAGGGCTTCTATCATAAACTCTTATCAAATCAAATTTCCAATTCATATTTAAATCTAAACCAAATTAAAAAAATTACATGTTTGCAATTGACAAATCTTGAAGAAAATCAAGCGAGACGATTGAAGCTCTTCACGGCGAGACGATTGAAGCTTTGACGGCGATCGTCACCATAATCGATTCGGAGCTCACCATCGTCATCGTTACCGGATCTCATCGGAGATCTAATCAGCGTCACCACAATCTCGTTCACTGGATCTCATCATCGTCATCACCGGATCGGTATCTTATACGTGCCCAGATCAATCTGAATTTCACTCCTCAAAATTCTGAATCGAAATCGTAGATCCGAGGTCGTAGTGAAAATCTCTTTCCAAATTAGATAGAAGCTCAAAATTTCGTTTGATTTTGTGTAGCTAAAAGGAAATTTGGCTTGGGAGAGAGAGAGAGAGATAACAGAGGCGAGAAGAGAGAAAGAGAGATAACAGAGGTTGAGGATGTGAGAAGGGGAGGGTAAAAATGTCTTTTCCCTTATAGTAGAAATTCCTAAATACGTAAGACCTTGCAATCAGTCCTAAATTGATAATTTTCCTGGGGAAAAAGCCCATTCCCGTAATTAATTCATATTATAGAAGAACTAAAAATCTAAGACCATGAATATTTGTAGTTTTTAAAATGGTTTTTGGCTTTTCATTTTTGGTTTTTGTTTTGTTGGTTTTTGATTTTTAGAGTAGATTTAGTTTCTTTAGAAATTGAATGGTAGTTTGTTTATTTGGTTTTTAACTTTTTATGTTGATGAATTATAGTTTTGTTTACAAAAATAAGAAAAAAAATGAGAAACAATGTGATATATGGTTTTTGAGAAAGAAACCTCAAAAATATGGATCGAACGGGATATTATTGCCGTATAGAGATCATATCTCAAAAACTTAGACAAAGCGATTTATCTCTGGTGTTTAAGGTTCGGCGAGTTAGTGTTATCACTTATTATCAAAAGTCGTTGTGCATTTCTTTATATAATAGGTCCACGAATATAGAGTTAATGGGCCAAGCCCAATCCATGCACTTGACCTTCTCTTCGAATAAGAGAAGATAAATCTCATCTTCGTGTAGGTGCTAAGGTGCACATATGTATATTTTTTTTTTCCGGTAACTTTCATTGATTAGTTCCAACATGGGCAAAGTACAAGAGAGTTACATGGTGAAATACGGAGACCAATAACGAAAATACAAAAGTTCAAACATAAACTCTAATCAAGAATACATCATGGCACAAAGTAGGTATAGAAAGAGACACATGTCAGACACGTGTTATTTCGTGAAATGGGGATGGAAAAGCGACCGCCTCTGCCTTTCCACCGGAGCTGAGCCACCGATCAAACCCAGATTTTCCGGCGAGTTTCATCTATCCACAACAAGGATCTATCGATCTTCAGCTTATTACTCCGAAAATTACCACTTTCAGTTTCCTCCGAGTGTGAAGAAACAAAGCCTCGTGAATCTTCAGATATGTGAAGCACTGGAAAACGTGAGATGGCTAGATTTGGAACAACAAATACTTCCGTTTTGGATTACATGGCGAATTTGGAAAGTTAGAAACAACTTTATCTTTAACAAATTTTGGTGGAACGCTTCGAAGTTGGTTATAAAAGCTCAAGCAGAGGTATCAGAATGGGTCAACATTAACACAAAACAGCCTCCCTCTTGGACGCGACCAGTTTACCCTTTTGTTAAATGTAATTTTGATGATTCTCAATCTTCGAAGACAACTAGTGGTTGGGTGGTAAGACAACTAGTTATTAGAGACAAACCTAATCTTAACTTATGTGTTTATCTCAGGCTTTGTATATCTTTGAGATCCTTATCTACTTAGATTACGTAAAGGCTCATGTGTAAATATTAAATTGTAACCTCATCATTGAAATACACAACATATATTGATCAATCTCTACTTCTCTATGTATGCCACTATGGATAAGCATTTGCTTCGTGCACGAATGGCCATTTTGAGTAGAACATTTCTTTTGATGAATTGTTGTCATTTTATTTATGTCTAATTAAATGGTAATATAATAACAAAATTTATATTTTAGTTGATCTTAGATTAATTTGTCTGCGCATCGCAAACTTGATCCAACTTTTATAAGTCCATGACATGAAGCTTATAAAGAACACCTAAAACTTTTTTGTCACGGCTTGAGAACTCAAATATATATATATATATACATATATACTAGATTTTAACCCGCGGTACACCGCGGGGCTATATTTTCTTAAAAAAAATCAAAATGTAATTTGTTTGATAGATTATTTTGATTGTTAATTTTAGGATTTCACCCGTGGTATACTATCTTTTATAAATATCAACCCAAACCCGTCCTATCATATTACCCGTCCTGTGAAATTAAACAGCATTTAGTTATTTTTCTTTTTAATAATACTTTTATTTAAAAGCTATATAATTCAAGTCAATTTAAAAATTTCTTTTAAATGGTTCCCATAAGATATATATACATATAAATTAAATTTGTATAGAGTTGAAATAATATTAATATTACAAACTTTTTATATAATTTAAATATTATAAATATTTTTAAAAATATGCAATATATATTTTTTGTTATTGAATAAGAGGATATTATGTGTAAGAAATGTAGAAAATAAGAGTTTAATATTTTTATTATGGAGTCGCAAGAAAAATCTTTTATTTCTATACATGTTATTCGTTTATTAATAATAAAAGAAAACAAATCCTTTAAATTAGATATTAACTAAAATAAACGCACCATAATTACTTATTAAGTAACAACCAATAAATTTCACCAAAAATAGGTAACAACCAATAAATTCTAAACGCAGTAATTAAAGAATGAGATATAAAAAAAAAATATCAAATAAGATATAAGAATCTTAAAATAATTGAATATCTAAATAATTTAATTGTTAGTGTCGATTTTAATGCTTTCATTAATGTGGATTTTTTTTTACAGAGAAATATTTCCTAAAGATTATCACATTAATGACTCAGAAAATTAAGGAAGATATGAATTTATGATTCTCGAAATCGTGTTGGTAATATTTTTAATTAATATTTTTCAAATTTAAATAATTAATGCCAATGGCATTCATCCGTAAATACATTCCAACTCCAGGATTTATTTGCTAAAAGTCATCCAAAAATGTATATATAGATATTTTTTTTTACTTTCTTCAGAAAAAGAGAACTCAAATTTGTTTGTCCATTTTTCAACTTTTCCATTCACATTTGTATTCCATAATCCATACCGTTATTTTCACGTTCAACATTTCTTCTAATTCTACCAATTCGATTTTCTTTTTAATGAACGTTTCAATTGATTGCTCGACACAAAAATTTACTTACATGTTTGGAGAAATTTACTTACAACACAAAAATGAAGCTGAACGCAATTCTAAGATCAAAAACTAAGGAATTGCCTCACTAAATCTAAGTCTCACTCCTAGCAAACCAGCATTGCATCAATAAATGGTGATATAGGAGGTGCAATATGGATGTTGATATGGTTTCAGGTCGACTTGTCAATGCTAATTGCGAGATTATTTGCATAAGTCTCATTTTAATTCAGATACTTTTTTCATTTTTCCATCAATTCTACCAGTTAAATTTAAATGATGTGATCACATCATTTTCCACCAATTCTACCAGTTTTTAAATCAATTCCAGAATTTTAAAATTACTTGTTATATCCTATACACTCTAAAGCATAAGTTGAGTAGTCAAAGACCTCAATCTCCTCTTAAATCGCTGCAATTTCCAAATTTTCATCTCGTCTAAATTAGTAAACAACTTTTGGTTGGTCCAAGCCCATTTTTCAAAAAATGCTCCCCTTTAATAGCCAGCCCACATTGTTTTGATTAATCATATTTTCGATATAAAATTATAAAAATATTTAATAAATAGGTAAATAATGTGTTGACGCCTAGATCCCGATTAATCGATTTAGATATTAGGATCCGGTTGAATACTTAGCTACCGTCTAAAATATTTTTGAACATTGAATACGAGAAAGCAACTAAATTTGTTGGAGAAATCAATCTTTCTCTTTCATAAATAAAATAAATTATTATAATAAAAATGACCTTTTAGCCTAAGAGATCTTTACCGTCTTCTGTCTTGAGGTATAAGAAAACAAAAAGAAGAAGAGATATTTACACCGTTTGGAGAAATTAGAAAAAAATTAAACTGACCTAAAAGCATCTCTAATGGTGAGGGCTCTCCACCATTTTTTTAAGAATAAAATTTTCAAATTTATGCGATGAGAGCTTTTGTTAAAAAATTTTAATTATGCAAAATCCAATGGTAGGCTCTCTTTGTGGGGTTCTCAGGAAAAAATTAAATTATTTTTTTAATTATTTTATTTTATAAAACTGAAAAATATTACAATTCATAACATATTAAACATACAATAATTTCATACATTTTTAGGTATTTTGGATATTTTTGGGTATTTTCGGATATTTTGAATATTTTTTGGATATTTTAAGTATTTTTGATATATTTTCCAAATATTTGTTGGTATTTCGGGTATTTTAAGCTATTCGATATAAAAATAACTAATATTTTCTGATATAAACTCATATTTCAGGTATTTTTGGGTACCCGAAATATTTCGGTTCGGTTCGGTTCCGGTTCTGGTTCTTTCGGTTCTAAAATTTAGGATCCATTTGAGTATTTTAAAATTTCGGTTTGGTTCTTTTGTTTCGGTTCTGGTTCGGTTCTTGTGGTTCGGTTATTTTGCCCAGGCCTAGCCATCGCCATCGCTGGCAAAGAGAGAGAGAGAGTCGGGTTTTTTTTTTTTTTGACGCGTGATTGTGTTTTTTTGTTGCGTTTTTTTCCTTGTTTTATCTAAAAATCGACCAATGGTATGACGCTACGTCATCGTCTCTCTTGCATCTTGAAAGCTCTCACAAGAGAGCTGTCTCTGTTCATATAACATGATTTTGATTTATTTTTGAATTTCTTTTTCATGAGTACTATATGAGAGAATCTAATATATGAACTATTGTAGATGCTCTAAGTGGGTCATAATAATTGATTCCATGAGGGAAGAATCTATTAATAAATATTCAACCGAAAGAAAAAAATAAGCTACTGAAGCGAGTGATTTGGTAAATGCCTTTCAAAGACCAAGAGCTTGGCCTTCTTTCAGTTATCAAATTTCGGAAATTCATCATTTTTTGGAAAAGATTTTGGAGTGGAGATTGATGGAAGAAAAAGCTTCAGCGAATAGAGGAGCTTCTCTCATTGCTCAGAGTATTGTTCGTGAGGATAGAATGCAGTCTTATGTGGCAGTTGGTCACCCTCTTTGGCTACAACACGTTTTTGAGGAGGAGAGAATTTCATCTTAATTGCTGGTTTGGTCCCTGTTTCTCTCTGGTTTCTGGTCTTTGTTGTAGGTTTTTTTTTTGGTGAATAGTATATCTTCTTCTTACCATTCTCGTCTACTATCCTGTTTTGTTTGTACACAGGTTGTGTGATGTCAGTTTGTATATCCTATCAATATAATCAATCCATTCAGTGAAAAAAAAAAAAAAGAATTAAACAAAGAAGGGTATCTATAATGTATGACCACAGACGATTGGAAAATTAGGTGAACAAAATGGACACTGTTTCTACAGTAATAAAGTTGAGGAAGTTACTTTACTATCCTTTTGTAATACCTTTGTCTTTAATTTTTATTTTCTCTCTCTCTTTATGGCAGATCTCTCCTGCAAAGTGTTTGGTGTCGGCCAAGAGTTTATCACGGTGAACTTGATACGACAGAATCAGAATGGAGTGGATTTTTCAATTTCGTTAAGGCCAAGGTGAGTAGATTTATACTATCCGGTGATAAGTAGTGTGGGATGAGGAGAGGAGACAGAGGTGGTACCGGCGGTGATGAATTAATTGGTGGTGATGGTGATGATGGCATTATCGATTATGAGTGAATGTGTGTGTGGTGTAGAAAGCTTGTGTGACTAGAGGCTGAGCAGTTGTTGTGGTGAGCTGAGACAGAGACAAAAGAGGTGTGGTGGCTGGAGTGGAGTTGTGAAGGTGGCCGTCATAACCTAATTCCACAATCAAAGAAGAATTGTGAAATACGGTAACTTATAAATTAACAACTAACAAAAGTATTTTAACAGTTAAAAATATAGGTAAATTGTTATGAAATGATGTATTTAATATCTTAGCACGTTACAAATATTTGTAGTCGGTTAATATTATTGTTATCACTATCATTATAAGTAATCTCTTATAATAATTTTAATTTAAAAAATCATAATATTAAATTGGTATTTTTTTTTATTAATTTGTATGATATTAAATGGTTTAACACGATAAATATATATTTAACAAATAATATATAAATTTATCGAGATAATATACTAGTTAACATGTTAATCAAATAGTTATTCGAATCTATCACGATACTATACTAGTTAACATGATAATCAAATAGTTATTCATACAAATTACAAAATATTTTATATAATCCGGTGATAAATAGTGTTCCCAAATTCAAATGAATAGTTTTGTGAGGAGGCTGATGAACAGTATCATGTGTACAATATCAGTGTTTTTTGTAGTAGCATATTGTGTAAATTAAACAAAATAAGAAGGACATGTATGGTTTTAATTTATTTCTCTTTTCTACTTATCTAATTCTCATATTTCTATTACCAAATCTTACAATATCTCCTTCTCTATGGTTTTATATTTATATGACCCAACAAAGAAAACCTGATCGATATGGCAGTACGTAGGAAAAAGTCAAAAGATTTGGATTTTGCATTGCAACTTTTTTGTTTTTGGTTTATATAACTAATATTATATGTTGCAGAATCTTACCTTCTTTTTACATATTTTACACTTCTTGTGTGCAGCTCTCAACTCGAGTAATTAAGTTAATTAGCCAAATAACCAAAGAACGTAAAAAGATTTAAAATTTAGAATTGACCTTTATGACTTCATCAATCAGTCTCTTGTCTCATAACGTTACACTCGTCTTTTCAGGTTGCTATTCTCTTCCCTCTCATTGCATTTTCCAGGCTGTTTCATCTTTCTTTGACATCACTGTATCGGTAACGATTCGATTACATTTAGACAGCGCCATCAATAATATATGGGGTGTTGGCCAACCGAAAATAGACATGAATAAGTATATTTAAAAGTTAACAGCAACTTTACAATATCTTTGGTGTTGGGTTTGATGTTATAAATTGTATTGCAAAAGATCATCTCTATGGATTAAGTTGAATAAAATGAATAATAGATCTATAAAACTATACATTTTAACCTAATAGTAGTGGTCGGATGGATAGAGTGTAAACTCACATTGCTTTTGAATTCAGTGCTAACTTAGCGGCCTTGAATGGTCGTAGACTTGTAGTTTTCAAATGGTTTTTGATTTTAGTTGTTCCAAAATCTTATAGCCATTTAAGATTTTGAAAGAAGTGGATTCTCTAAAAAAAATTCTATGGGTTTTTAGTTTTTTACTAATTTCTTAACAAAATCCAAAATTCTACTTCAATGAGATTTTGAGATTTCTTGTAGGAGACTTCTTTTTTCTTTTCTTTTTTTCTCATTTGTTTTATTTTATTTTATTTTGCAAAATCCAAAAATCAAAACCTAAAAGCTAAAAACTAAAATCTATAATCTAAAACCTCTTAAAATCTCCTAAACGTACATTCATTGCCAGCATTTGAAGTTTCAATGGATAGGGCGTAAAATTGTATTTCTTGCATATTCGATTATAACTTGCCATTTAAAGTTTTAACTTCTGAGCCATTAGATTCTGAACTTATTTGTAATTGATGCTAGATCTCTATTAGTATAGTGTCGTTGGACACAATTCTTTTTCTTTCTGTCTAAATTTTTAAAATGGTATACTCTTTTTCATTAATCTACATATTTGTAAAATTATCTTTAATCTGGATTATCCAATAAATAACAAAACTAGATACATTTTTTAAATACATTATTATCATTAAAGAATTTCCAAAGTATTGATAGAAATGGTGGTAAATCAGTAAATTTTTTGGATGTAACAAAAAAAGAGATCAGTAAATTGTAAAGAAGTAGTGGCACTAATTGGCCCACAAGAGTAAGCGACCGACGAAGCAAAACGGAATCTGAAAACTATTAAAAGAAGAGATAATCGAGGTATATATGGTATGATCGGACGGCTGAGATCTGATGCCATCAGATGGACACGTGTCAGAAGTGTACTCCAGGTATCATTCTCTCTGCCTCATGACATCAGCCGATGGTACCCTCGATACGGCGCCGTCAAGGCACATATTATCCCTTTAATTTATGTTTTAGCCAGCAAATAGATTTGCCATGGATTTGATACTCAATAATATTAAGGTTTTTTTTTTGGATCAAAACTCAATATTATTAAGGTACATCCATATTGTACAATATAAATTTTAACTGTTTTCAGATTTTTAGAAAATGAAAGAGTTATACTTATATCTGAGATTCAGTTTTAAAATTTTTTATATGAAATTGTTGACAAAAAAAAACAAAGAAAATTAAACTAAAATCCTTTTATGTGAATGAGCTAGATCTACAAGAGATTTTACGCTAGACCACTCCAATAAGAAGATGTTTATCTCTCCTAATAGAAGTCAACAAGTGTTAGCCGAGATACATGAGGAAGAAGTTTGACCTGCAAAATCTTATTTGTCAGGTACTTTTGGCTATCACTTATTCGTGGATCAAACGTATTTCGTGCAACAATTTGTCAAGTATATATAACAACACAAATTTTTTTTTTTTTTTTTTTTTTTTTTTTTTTTTTTTTTTTAACAACATTTTGTTGATGTCTCTTGCCAATTCTTTGAACCTAAAATCAACAAAGCATAGTTATGAAGTTAAATTTGGAGATAGTACTGAAATTTTTGACCACAAAACATATGGCGAGTATTTGATTTGTTTGTTTTATCTTCTCATTCATGTCGGATTCAACTTCAAGAAAATATGTTTGACTGTCAGGGAGAACAAAGTTTTTTTTTTTTTTTTTGGTAAAAGGAGAACAAAGTTCTCTAAGAATTTGTTAACTAGCTGAAAGAATATTAAGGTACTATTTACTACTGTGACACAAGCCTAGTTTAATTTCTTGTTGATTACATTTTTTATGTCTAAAAAACAGATTATTTGTTTATGATTGATTTCACACATTTTCTTAGAAACTAAACGTTGAAGAAAAACATGTTAGAGATATTGAGTGATAAATACTAATTTTAACAATTTTAAAGGAAACAGAACTGTAATCGAGTGATAAATAGTAAAATACACAACTGTATGTAAAATGTTCGAGATATTGAAAACAATATAATACCTTAGATTTATAGAGAAAGTTTTCAGTTAAAATATGAGCATTAATTAATTTATATATAGCTAAATCATGAACCATATACTTTTTCTATGCCCATTGATGTTGTCGATTGATGAACATTGGTTACTGATAAATCATTTATTATATATTTTAGAAAAGCTACCAAGATATTTCAATAGTTACTAATTTACTATGATGCACGTTTAGAAAAAATAAAATAAAAATAGGAGATCCCATTTCTCGTGCTTGTAGGCTTACGCTATAAATTGGACTGTCCCCTTCTCATTTCATTACCAAAGTAAAGAACAGTTTCTATCTTTCTCTCTTTATCTCTCTCACTCACTCACTTTCTCTCTAAAAAATGGATTCAAGAAGTCTTGTGCTACTCCTACTCTTCTGCCTCTTGTTCCTTCATGATGCTTCTGGTCTCACTCTCCTTCTCTCGCTCCCTCTTCTAAATATGTACCACTCATGTTTTACTCTCATCATAACTTATTTTTGGTTTATTATCTCACCAGATCTCACTCACGCTAATGCTCACATTCATGGACTTCCCTCCCGCAAGGTTAGCTTCAACTTGTATTAATTAAGGCCTCTCAACATACTTATGTTATGTTCCTATAGATGTCCAGTCCAAGTCCAACAACTGTTTTATTGCTTTAGTCATAAGATAAATAAATACACTAGAAAACTGTAACATTAGGATATGTCTGTGTGTGGAATTAATGTCAGTAACAAAACATAATAAAATGATGTTTAATTGGCAGATGATGAAGATGGAGAGGGAATGGGTAGGAGCTAATGGAGAAGAAGAGAAGGCGAAGAAGAAGGGTTTAGGACTACATGAAGAGCTAAGGACTGTTCCTTCAGGACCTGACCCGTTGCACCATCATGTGAACCCACCAAGACAGCCAAGAAACCAATCTAATATCCCTTGACCTAATCTTGTTCCTTTTACTTATTTCATGTTGTAAATTACTTTCTGTTTTATCGGTTTTATCATTTTGGGAGTTTTGTTTTTGTGTAACCAGTTTCGTTTGCTAAGCTTGTAGTTTCATGAAAGTGAATGTAAGATATGCACTACTTTTGTTGCTCACGTTAATGAAATCATCTTTTTCTCTCATGATTTTCTAAGAAAATCCTATTAAAACGAAGATTACTATATAGTTTACGTTTCTATTTTACTCCATATTTATGGTCTTTACGTATAAAATGCAAAATAAAGACACAAGTATATCTCCAAAGCAATGTACCGTTGGGAAAATTTATTAGTACGTTTGCAATTGTCAATGCAGATAATTAATGGATGTGATAGTCATAATTAAACATGCAATAATAATAATAATGATGATGATGATTTGATGATGTGGTGGGAGGATAAATTAAAACCGGCTTTGGGGGCAGTGTCAGTGTCAAAGATAACCATTTGTAGTCACTATTTCTATCGAAGGTTGTAAATTGCAATTGTGGAGGAGTATCAAAACGACACACATACTTGGAAAAGATATTTTAATAATATGAAAATATTTGTGATAGCGTAATAACAAACCTAGAGCTAATTATTATCCTTAATGATACCAAATCTATATGATACGATATTTGTTTTTAAAAGAGTAAAGAATGACACTTAAGATGTGACACTGGCGATTTCGCTCACGTCACCACTTTTCCCACCTCAAACAACGCTTACGGGCTTATCCATTAAATTTAAATATAATTTGAAAATGTTTTTTTTTTCTTGCCAAATTTAAATACATCTTACAATTGTTATGAAAACCACTTAATGTTCTTATAATTTCGTTCTTTCCTCCAATGTCATCCCAAGACTTTTTGACGTACGTAATATATGATCTAACTTGCTTTCGAATGGTATAACATATATCAAAGTAATCAGAAGAACAAGATATATACAAAATTATTTAATATTTATTATTTAGTATAAACATTTAAATTAAAATTATTAAACATATATCCAAAGTAATCAGAATTTTTAATTAAATTTAAATTACCATTGTAGTTAGAATCGTATTGATGTTGGAGATAAATTTAATACATATTAAGGATGTAAATGGTGCCATAGAAAAATAATTTAGCTAGATTCATAAATTCCGTCAACCCATTTAGACAAACTGAATTTAGCTAGATTGAACAATTTTTTCACACTGTAATTGACACGTAGGTATGTTCATTTCAGATTTGAAAAAAAAAATAATAGTAAGTATACATATTGATTATCGATATTTAAGATATCAAATATTACGTCTATTATAAAATTTTGGATCAGATAATATGGGTAGGCCTATGCATTCGGATTTTCTAGTCAGTTTCAGTGGACTAATTAGGATTTTTGGGTTTTAGGGTTGGGAGGTTAAGGATTCGTTTTGGAACCGAATGAGTTTATGATCGGATAAGTTTGGTTTATACTCGGGTTCAGACTCTATCTCAAAATTTATTTGAATCCCAATATAGAACAAAAAGAAATTTCAGTTTAGATTTTAAACCCAAATTACCAAAGAAAAAACCCCGAAAAACTCAAAAAATAATGTGTATATAGTGTTTGGGTTTTATGGGTATCTGTTCCGTTTGGGATTTGTTTGGTATTCTCTCGAATTTCAGATTCTACCCAAACTGAACCGAGACCCAAAAAATAATAATTAAAAGTCCTTTCAGATAATATTGACTATATGAAACCAAACCGAACCGATTTTGTTTTTTAGGTCAACTCTTATCGGATTTTTGGGTTTCTCATTTTATAGGTTCTCATTTTATATCTAGGCCTAAATATGGGTATGAAATATAGGTTATTCGAATATATAAAATCAGTATCTGAACGACTAAGAGTCAAATTCATTTTTTTTTTTGTCATCCGAAATTAATTAGAGCTCAAAAGAGCCATTCCTGGGGAATGTTGTTTACATATGTGATATGTAGCGGTTCTGCATGAATCTTTCGTGCTAGATTATCCGCTTTTACATTAGCATTACGAGAAATTAAAGATAAAGAGAAGGATGAGAATTCTTCCTTGTCGCTCTGAAATTCCTCCAAGTACACTGAAAACGCCGGCCATTCAGTTGGAGAAGACACCATCTTCACCAGATCAGAACAGTCTGTAAGAAACTCTACCTCTTGATTATCTGCACCAATCATACACTTCATCGCCCAGAGAAGAGCCTCGAATTCTGTATGTAATGGAGATAGACTTCTACGGAGGTTGGCAACTCCCATGGTTGGCGGTTCTCCGTTTGATGATATACAAAACCATCCTGCACCGGAGAACTTATCACTTTCTTTCCACAATCCATCCACAAAGCAACGACATCCAGAATAATTCGAATCAAGTCAAATTCATGTTCGGATATTTTGTATAATTACATATAATATTTCAAAATGCGGGAAATCATAACTTTTACGTGACATTTAAAATTTTCTACAAAAAAATGACAAGTATCTTAACTATTATTCAAAATAATAAAATTTCAGTAATCTTCTTACTAATCCTATTATTTTTAAGCTACTAGATAGTTTAAAATTGTGTTACCATGTTAATCTTAAAACTCAAAATTTCATTAAAAAAAAAGATTTTTATTAATTACTTACATGTTATCAATAGTTCAAAAACAACCTAGAAGAATAATAATTTACTGATCAAAATATTATTTGTATTACTCTTAATATGAGAATAATTCAAATATTTTTTTCACTTATACATTAGTTAATTAAGGCATTAAATGATTTTATTTATATATTTAAATCAGTTTTCAGTCATTTTGTTATTTATTTGGTTATAATTTTATGTTATTCTACTAGATTCGCTGCTACTATTTCAATTTTTAATTATTCCACAAAATTTTGTTACTAAAAATCATAAATAAATTCTGGCAGTTTTATATTTCCATGTTTAGTTAAATTTAGCTGTTACTAGTATTTTTGATCATAATTGTCAACAAATTATCTTGTGACATGTCGGTGTCAAATCAACGACTTTCTTAGTCAGACGAATATGAAAGCATCCAACGCTAGCTTGATAGTATTTTAAGGTGTCGAATGTTAAAAGCAGATCAAACGATGCAGATCATGCAGATCATAGGAAAAAAATGCAAATCATGCAGGACAAATGTAAATCTAGCTGATCAAGAAGTCCATAATATATATTTGAATAGTGTACGCAGCTCAAGCTGTGAAAATCAAATATTTAAACCGTTAAATATATTAAAACACACACAAATTTTTTTGAAAAAATTTCTTTTATAAAATAATAAACATACGGTAACTATATGAACATTACAAATTTTGTTTTTATCTTCTACATTATTTTTTACTAGTCACTATCACTATTTTTTTTAACACGAGTATTATATATAGAAAATTCACAAAGAATCCTCTATTTCTTTTTCTTCTTTCAAACTCCAAATGTTCTCTCAGTAACAGAACATAGTGAAGCATGACAACAATTAAATAGTTCATGTTTCTTTCTAGGAAGAGGACCTTGGAGGACTGTGATATATGATACCTAAGAACCCTATTCCGTGAAGATCAATAAGGAGCAAAAAAAACTTTATTTATTTGGATAGGTAGAATCAACTACATAATATTTTTCTGTCAAAAGCAAAGAAAATTTAGAATTACTATTTTCTGCCATCGTGATAACTACTGTGTCGTGACATGAGTCGGACGTTCCATTCCAAACATATGTGAACAACATATTCAAATAACATATTACCATTATATTAAACGATGTTCTATCATATCGATTCTAATACAATCCTTTGAGTTCAGAATTCACTTTAACGCATACATGAACTCCATCCATGGCTCTAACGAATCTACTAAAAAATGGCCAATATCTTTGATCCATTTGTAGTTTCTCAGGAATTCGACGTAATTCTTGCCTCGTTGGAGTCTTATATAATCACAAGCAAGTAAGTCAATCGCCCTAAGGACTTCAAAAAACTTTCTATTTATTGTCTCTTTTGCGTTTGTCCAAATCGCAGTCCAACATCTCTTTCAATTTCATTGTGCCCACATATTCGTAAAAACATGACCACACTCTCTTGTATGCTTACATTCAATTAATGTAGGTTGTAAACCATAACTCATTTGCAGCTTCTCACATATTGATCTAAAACCATCAAGTGGCATTCTTAGTAACTGAAGACAAGCAACATTATCTTCTTGTACTCGACGCCATATATTAATCCATCCCACCACCATATGTTTTAATTCGCCCTCTTTCAAAATATTGGTTATAGTATCTCAATAATAGTTGAATTATTAACTATTCAAATTGCTCATTTTTCAAATTCCACAACAAATTTTAACGTAAGTATTTTCTTGCTACAGCTGACAAATCCTTCAAAGATAAGATACAATTATTATTACAAGCTCTATGTGGATATACATGCTATGATGAACATGTGGGAAAACTCTTAACACGATTCACCATGTTGGGATAATTCAAACAACATTGGATTACTACGATCAATATTTTCAAAGAGACCAATCCAAACAAATGGCGGTTTGGGGTTGCACAACATATATATTTGGCCAATGTCACTTAGTGGTTTCATAACATTGCGATAAACTAAAAACAAGTTATGGTTTACAGCCAACATTGAATATAAGCATTAAAGAGAGTGTGGTAATGTTTCTACAGATATGTAGTCACAATGAAATTCAAAAAGATTATATTATGACTCCAACAATACAAGACCAACACCAAATTTTCGAACGGTTGCAAATATATCTTTGGTCACATTTTAGTGGATTTGTAAGAGTAATGGATGGAGTTCATGTAAGGTGAAGCCCGAATTACAAGGAATATATTGGCATCGACATGGTAGAACATCATTCAACATCATAAAAATATGTGATTTGAATATGTTGTTCACATGTGTTTGAAATGGAACATCGGGATCTTGTCACGGTAAAACATTTCTCACTATGGCACAAGTGTTTTTTATTCCATATAGATCTTTGCAAACGTAGGTTGTTTGATATCATGTGTCACAACAAACCAGAAAAATTAGATTATTTTGTGAAAGAATTTTTGTGTCTATAAAAAGTGATTCCTACATGGGGATAGGGCTAAGATGAGCGAAAATGCACCATTCGAAAATGGTCATCTTCTTAGGAATAAACATGAATTGTTTAATAAATATCATGCTTCTTTACTTTGTGTTATTCAGAGGAAATTTTTGAGATATAATACTCGTGTATAAAAGAGAGTGGTAGATTAAATAATTTTATCAGAATTTCAAATTTTTAGATGACAATTTTGCAGAAATAATGGGAGAGACATAAATTAGGAACATAAATTATGAGACTGATTTAGGAGACATGGAAGCTGCAAAGATAGTTGATGGCGAGCTTATGGCAAACATCAGGGAATATATAGCATATATGTTATGGAAAATATCAGAATTACTCGACATTAATCTTTTTCTTTGATAAACCTGATATATCATAGTTTTTACGGATTTTAGCCATGATATATGTCTTGCTTTTAGAGTCTTTTTGTTATTTCTAGAGTCTTTTCAAATATTTATCAGGTTAATGCACATACGGGACCAATTTGGAGATTATAATCATTCTTGAGTAAAACCGAGAAGTTATGCTAAAAGAGCAATCCGGAGACGAATCTTGGTATGGGTGTCGATCAACACTACCCCTGGAGTCGGTCGACACCAATATCTGACGGCAATTCGATTTTACGAGCTTTTGAAGTTTTGGAAAATTGCAGAAAGTGCCCAGAAGTTTTCCCTATTTTTAAATAAGTTCTTGCACGTTTTTAAGACCATATAAATAGATTTTTAAGGTCATTGTTTAGACCTAAACTTTATTTTACCTTGTTCTTGGGAGCTAGAACCATGTGGGAGCTCCCTTCAGAGAAGATCGTTCTAAACTCTATTTTGGTCTGGTTTTCTTATAATATTTCTACTTTAAAACATGTTTTGTTCTTCGATAATCATGTCTGAGTAGTCCTCTTGTTGGGTTTAGGGATTCTCAATAGGGATTTGGATGAATTAGTAGATCGATAACCAGTTAGGATAAAATCTATAGAGTTCTTCATCTTTGATTGTTCTCAATATTAATTCTAGAGTAGCTAACTATAACTTGACCTTAGGATAATAGGTTAGACACGAGAATGCGCTTATTACTGGAACTATCTTAGGTAAGCAAAAATAGCTAGATACAGACGAGAGTTGGTCTAGATACTTTTGTGAACATATCGAACCTGATCTTAATGCTTGTTTAGTTTTAGGGATTTACAGACGAGTGTTGGAATTCCTGCTATTAGGCATAGATAGTCAATACAGACGAGAGTTGATTGATTATAGTTTTGTGATTTGAGTTCTAGAACGGTTCGCTAATAATTTTTAATTAACTGCTAGATCTAATATTCTGATATTTCCTAAGAAATCCCTAAGCCTAACGTTCAATCCTTCTGATTTACATCGATTTTAATTAATTGTCTTGCTTTATGTTTACAATCTTTTCTGTTTAACTTAATTCGAAACTGTTAGTCTATTGTGTGATCTGAGAACTTTGTGGAATTCGACTCCTAAGTGCTATAACGATCTCTTTATTTGAGGGAGTAGTCAATAGGGTAATTTGACTCATATCAAAACCCTATCAACTGATCTAGTTAGCCCTAGTAGAAACACACTGAAGTGTTCCAAAGCAAATTTCTCCCCGAAGGGCCACCACACTATTTGTCCGGAGATTGGAATGCTTTCCGATTAGTGTCAAGGGGTAGCCACTTCTCCCCGAAGAGCCACCGCACTGTTTGTCTCGAGTTTGAAATACTTTCCGATTAATGTCAGAGGGTAGTCAAATCGCTTGTTACTTGAGTATCAGGTAAACTGCTTGGCTCAAGCCAAAACTTCCAACACAGATGTATTTTTTTGTTTCCATGGTGGATCGAAACTGGATTAGTTCCTTCGAAACTGGATCGAAATTCCAACATTTTTCCAATTCTTAACTACCACTAGACCACAACCGTATGGGGATTAATGTACTTTTGGTGTTGTATTTGAAGTAATAGTCTGTCTAATGTTTTCATATTTATGATAATAAGTGTATTTAATGCATTTATAAATTAATACTCATGATTAAATATATTTTAAAATAAATAAATTGCATAAATATAAAATAACATATGTAAATACAAGTTTTTGTTATAGCTATTAACAATTTCTGTTATTATATCATGGCCTTGTTCGCCAATGAGTCGTAGTCGCTACAACTTTCAGTTCTTCTTTATCTCTCTTGAATACTAGTCGTTGCGACTTTAATATTTAGATCCGGGGTCGCTGGAAATAAACAGTAACACTATTCATACCTAATTTTAATGCAGCGACAGTCGCTGGTTTATAAGCCATTAATGAAGCTTGGCGGAAAAGATGATGAAAAAAATAAAATATAGACCAAAAATCCTATTTTTAATAGAGATTTTGCATAATTTACATTTATATCCTTTGAATAACTTATAATTACAATACACAATTGCTTTTTAAGAGAATGGCAGGTGGTAGTCATATTTTAACAACTAATATATGCAACCCACTTCTCTGTCACTATTATTTTGAGACAAATTTTTGAGGTTTACTTGTCAAAACAAATTGGTCATTACTCGTAATATTTGCGAGTAAGGTAAGAGTTCATATGTTCTCACAACACAGAGTTACAATTTTTTTGTTACTAGTGTAAGTCCCTTTTTTTTATCAGTTGTGTCAATGACTTCATGCTTAGTTGCAACTTTGTTGCTTTCACACAGTACATTGTTGATCGTAAAAACATTATCAGCTACTACAATAGAATTGTTACAAATTACATAATGTAAAAAAGTTGACATGATTTTATTTAATTTGTAAATATTTTAAAAAGTTACAACAACTAAAATATATTAACCTATCTCATGTGTTTTGAATTTACGATTATTAATTGGATTATATTTGAATTATTCTACTATAATTATATATATACTTATGTTAATAATTATTTTTTATAAATACTTGATTTAATTAATAAAATTTCCTTTTGTTTTGATTAACGATTTAAATTTATTTTTAGATGAAAGTCTTTCTTTTTTTTTTTGTGCACCAGATGAAAGTCTTTCTTATTATATATATTGGGAACAAAAAATTTTAAAATTTTCTTTTCTCACGTTTTTTTGTTTCTATCTAAATGTGTGTGTATATATATTAAAAAGATATTATATTTAATTCTATATAATGGCATTTTTAGTTGTCAAATAATATTAGTAGGATTTGAGTAGGTGATATTTCACAACATATAATAGAATCAATAAAAATTATAATTAAATCATTATGAATTCTTTTTGGACTAGCATTATCTACATTCTACGACATCACAAACAATTGTGTGACCACATGAAACACATCTTGCGTGGACATGCGTATCACCGTCTTCATGTTTCTCATGGATTGAAACCTCCTTCGAGCGGTTATCATTTTTTGATGTGTCATGATTATTACCATCATCTTCAATAATTGTGACCACATGCTCATCATGACATTTTATCGACCGGAGACTAACAAAGCTTTTGGCTTTTTGTTTCTCGGAAAACAAAGGCTGTTCAATCTTGTTCTTAAATTTTGCAGCGGATGCTAGTTCATGTAGGGCTTCCAAGATTTTCTCTGTCAGGTTTATAATATCGATGAGCAAGGAAATCGCGGTCAGAAGTGAGACCAATTCTAGTGGCTCAACTTCTTTCAAGATGCCTGAATTAAGTAAGTTGGTGAGTGATTTGGAGGCAGATCTTGCGTTTTGGACATGAAGATCAGAAGAAGATGGTTTGGTCATTTTCTTCAATGAAATTGACATTTCTTTCATCGCTTTGCCAGACTCCAAACTCATTCTTCTCAATGGTTCTCCAAGTTTCTTTTTAATATCAATTGACACCTAAAAATTTGTGAACAAAGGGATAAATTAGTAACACAAAGAATAAATAAGAAGTTTCTAACAAAATGGTTTAGATAAATTATTTTGCATAGGATTATGAGAAGAATTCTAAATGTAAAATGAATGTATTAAACAAAATATATAGGGAATATCCTATCTAACATATTTAACTTGATCTCTTCATATACAATACCTTATTATCTGCATTAAGATATGATGAATTCAGGGTATGAATTCTGTAAGCACATTGTCGGATTAATTCACCGACAGCTAGATATTGTTTCCAAGGATGCCGGAATCTGAATTGGCCGTGACCAGGTTCCCATTTCGCAAAATTAGCCTATATAAGAAAACGACAAAAACATAATGAAAATGATATATAGTGGTGAAAATAAAGTAAGAAGGGGAAAAAATTCAGAGTTCACCACTAACCAAAGATTCTTCATTGCTTTTTGAGTTGAGAACACTTTTATAGTTGTCAAAATCCTTTTTTCGTTTGTCAACCTCTTTGGTGTCATCATTTTCTACCACTTCACAATATTTGTCCCCAAAATCTGCCAATCTCCAACTTTTATTTTTCTTTATAATAAAAATAAATACTCGACTAATTAATCAAGGACCTAGTAAATGTACCAACATTTCAAAATGTCTAGGAAAGTTTGTTTAACTTGTTGTTTTAAGATCATATTCATTGATGTTAACTTTGTAAAGTTTCTTTCTTCTAAATTGACATCCAATATATCAGAGAGTTTTTTTTTTTTTTTTTTTTTTTTTTTTTTTTTAGGGTATGGTTGACAAAAATACAATATTCAAAATAATCATTTTAAAAGTGGTTTTATAAATTTTCTTTTCATGATTTTCTATTGAAAATTAATATATGTCAACATGTAATTTTAACATAAAGACTTTAATGTTCATCCCATTTGAATAAACTTGTACTTCTTAACAAGAAAACAAATTTCTCTAACATATTATTTTTTGATCAAGATCGTTCTCTAAAATATCCTTATTAGTCACCACACAAACATATGGAAGCGAGTATGAAAACTTGAAACTTATCCCACGTGACCAAGTGGCAAAACATCTACCAGGCATCGAAAGTTCCCAGCTAACCTTAAAAGAGTTATACTGTTCAAATCAGAAAAAAAACATAATGAAAGGAAGTACCTAACAAGAAAAATGAGAGTTTCTCAAAGTTAGAGGCTAGGAGTGAATGAAGATCTTGGCCGGCCCAGACGGGGCAGACAAAGATGGAGATAAGGACACAACTTAGTCCTCCGATGATCACTGTCGAGATTCTCTTATGCGTCAGCATTACAACCTGCTCCTCTCTGAATCCCGACACTGATATCAACGCAAAGGTGAGTATGAAAATCAACAGGCTGTAATCGTATCTCGCCTTCACCCGCGGGAAGAACCTCACAAACGTCGACAAGGCAGCTAAAAAACCCAACAAAATATCATGTTACATTTTCTGTTACATCTATAACATGTTATACACTTATACTTATACGGTCCGCGAAAAAAAAAAACACGTAAACGCAAAAACAAATGTGAATGTAAGCAAACAATCATTTCTTAGTCCTTGTGGTTAATTGGTTATACATATAAGAGTTAATTGGTATATAAATATACCTTGTACAAAGACAAAGATTGCGAGAAGAATGGGTTCTCCTGTTGGGCCAGACATGCTAGCCAGGTGATGAGCTCCGATTCCAAGTCCCCCAGCAAATAGTGTTGCCGCCACTCTGTTAAGACCTTTACCGAGCGTGGCTCCTACATTATAACAAAACATAAAATCAAATCTTTAACTATATCAAGTGATCATGTTGTTATCCAAACTTTAGTTCTTGTAGTATCTATTGCGTGTCATGCATGCAAGACCTAGTAATTATTTATCCAGAACCAAGATTTTATTTCAAGAATGTTGAGGTTCGTGAAGAGTGAATGTTAGAAAGAGCTTAAAATATGGAATACGAAGACGGACCAACAGAGAACTCGAAGACGACAACAACCGTCATAACAGCCCACATTGCATTAACACCGAAGCTGTCGTAGAGAGGTTGGTAATAATAGAAGGAAGAGACTAAGGCAAGAACCAGACCCACTTTGAACGAGTGAACTACTCTCCTCGGGTCTTCTTTTGCCACTCTTCTCCCTTCTCTCACAATCTCTCTCACTTTTTCCATATCTATGGATTTGTCTCAAAAGACCTTTTTAATTATCAGTTGCACAAAGAGAGAAATTGTTAGAAAGAGAGAGTCGAAAGAAGAGGTGTTTGTGTGTGGGTTTATCACATGTTATGTAGATGATCAAGCTTATTTATAAGAGGATGACAGAGAAATATCTGGTGGACAGCTTATATAATGATATTAATTTATGAATATCATATGGACTTTCGTATACCACTTATCAAAATTTTATCATGTGTTTCTTTTAAAAATATATTTTTCTAGTATTTGTATTAATCCAGAACTTGAGCTTATAGTAGATACGATAGAAGGAAAAAAAGAAACTAATATTAAGAGAAACATATTACTTTCTTTTTCCCTAAATAGTTAGTTCTTCGAATGAATTAATTAATGGCCTCCTATTTATCTTTATCTAACCTCATGTCATTTTATTTCAATCTCCCTAACTATTAATCCAAAATTAAACTGCATGATAAAAACTTTATTCATATAATTAATGCATACTATTTTTCAGTTCGAAAATTTAAGACGACTAAAAGGAAAAAAATGGAACACCATGCGTGCAGAGTTTGATGAATTTATTTTCTATACTACTACTAATATTTCACTCATGCGAGTTTAATTCTCAAATCTCATGTACACATTGAATTAACTTTACAAATAGGGTTCAATATTCATATTGTTTTATCTCACGAATTAACTTTACAAATAAGATCTAAGATCTTATTGACAATTTTTTTTGGGGGTCATATTTCTAAGTTTGAAGGTTTTCGCTGCTTCATCGTTCTTAATTAGGCTTAGCCATAAAGCTTTGTTATTATTTTCTGTATCTCTCTATATTGTAACTTTCCATCATATATATATACAAAAAAAATAAAAAAATACCCTAAAACCTGAGGTTCATTAATGAGTGAGTCATAATCTTAGATCCACAGTCCAGTACCTTTTATTATAGTTTGTTAATGCAACGTGTATGTATCCATGTGATCATCACATAATATTTATAGTTTGTTTAATTAGAACTCATTTTGATCCCTAAATTATACTAAGTAATAACATTTAATGGCAGAAAAAAAAACGGAAACATTCGAATGTGTTTGAATCTCAACGTACCAAAAGAAAATATGCTTAGTAATTTTAAATGGCTCATACTACAGTCTACACCTCCAACAATTTCTTAGTTGTACCACAATCATTTATTTATTTGACATTATATCTTGACTTCGAACATAAAAGTAAACAAGATTTTACTTTTCAGGTTAGGTCATGCTTATTGAACTTCAATTAACCTATATTTGACGGTAGACGTCAAAATAAAATCAGCGAAGTCAAGTAAAACTATTAACCTCTAATAGATGTGATGAGAATGACTTCCTCATTAACTTTCTATACCAACACATCACTGCCAACACATGTCATGGTCAGCGTACAAGGTGTACATGAAAGCGTTTACGACTCTAATACACACAAAAACATAAAAGTATATACATAAGTTTTTATTGTATTATATTTACGTTTTCAAATTTCCATTCCTATAGAAAACAAAATTTTGATAAAACATAAACTCTATAATGAACTAAGAATATAAAAAAGATGTTCGTGAATTTTGTGCTTATTCCTAACATAGAGAGAGGTGTTGTACAATTAACCATGGATGGAAAGGTACCGACATCGCTTAGGTTAATTTGAAGCCTCTACTTTCACGTTGGATTTTGCTTCACTAGGTCTCAACTTGTAGCCAAATAAGGTAAAAGTAAGTTTACTCTTTTCGACTCGTACAATTATCAACTTAGAGAAGTAACTCATCAATAAGATGAACCTTAAGGAAAATCAACCGAGGAGTCTTGAATATTTTTAATTTAGGCTATAGCTTAGTGAAATGAGCCTCACAAACTTTCTTTACATGAAATTCTATGCTATACAAATAGAGAAGCTCATTCTACGAATGATCACTAGAAATCTAAATATAAGGGCACTAATACTGAAACTCCATATGGATTACGACATGTGATAAGGTAGATTAGTGGTCTCTTTAAAAAAAAAGTAGCCACATTCTATAATTATATACTTACCCAACTTCTTATCAAATCTATTTGGCATGTGATGATGGGAAACAGAACCACAAGTTGTCCTATAAGAACTTAGAAGCGCATGCCCTTATATCGTGCTATTTCTATCTTGTTTCCTATTAAACCTCGTCGGTTATATATCCTTTATATTTTTCCTAAATCATGATTAAAACATCTTATTCTAGTTTTGCATGCGATAATGAAGATTAGAAGATTTCAACTTTAAAAGAAAATTAATAATAATTTGTAAAAGCAAAGAAATGATTCATTAACAGCTAAATGTCATTGACACTAGGTCTCATGATTTGATCGTTTTGTACTTCAATTCTATAGGAAGTGGGCGCAATAGATGACTAGGAAAATGCAAATGCTGAGTCACCGCACTCACTCTCTGTGTTTTAACAAGGAATCCAACTCCACTTAGTATAATATCAGTTTTTCTTCCATAAGTCGAGTCTTGATTAGTTTCACCCACAAACTCAATGAATTTTTTTTTGAAAAAACGAAGATTTCTCTTGAACTAAACGGGAGTTGTCTCCACATGGGGATGAGGCTAGCTACTCAGAGCCAAACAAGCAATTTCTGTGACCCACAAGGCCACAACATGGCCAAGCAAATGAGAAAGCTTAAACAACAAGCATTGCTTAAACAACAAGCACATCTCAATGACTAAGTAATAACAAGCTCAAGATCACAAGAACAAACTCTCGTTTTATCAAAAAAAATCTCGATAAAGCTTTTTGAGCTAAAGAGAACAAACTCTCGATGAACAAAGAGCTGAAGAGAGTGAAGAAGAACGGCAAAGTTCTTATGAAAGACCTCTTAGTAATTCAAGAAAAAAAATTATAAAAGGCCAATTCTCATTAACTAGAACTAGTTAAAATGTTTCTCGTTTATATAGAGTGAAAGGACCTGAATACAACGCCTTAATTAGTTAAGATGCATGCTAGATTAGTTAAGAACACATGACTGGTTTGAGAAAACCAATTTTGATGTTTATAAATTGTGTGACAATTAATCTGTATGGGCTTTAGTACGTTCACGGAAGACTGGGTTGGAAGCAATATGAAAAGTTGACTTATTGTCACAAAAGATTTTAGCATTAATAACTAAAGAGATCTTCAAATATGTGATCAACGGATGAATCCATATAAGCTCAAAGGTGGCATATTCCGATTCTGATTCTATACTACTCCTACGTATAGTGGGATGCTTTTTTAAATTCAAGAAATCAATGAATTACCAAGGTAGTCACAAAAGCCAGAAATCGATCTTCTCGAATCATGCATGACATGAAGCTTTATCTTAGTAGCCTTCTATCTAGTATTCTATTGTACACGAACATGAGTAGGAGCTTGAAGAAGTTGGCTTAGTCTATCAACTGCATAGGTGATATATATCGTTGTATTACGATAGAGCAAATGTCCAATATATAAGCTTTCGATGCCGTTTTGGTGAACCCAATAATTGTCTTGTGTCTTTGCTGAGATAAAGATAAGAGTCCATAAGAACATAACTTGGTTTATAAGCTAGAAGAGCAAAATATCTCCTAATAGATCCAATGAATACTTCCCCTAACACAGAATTAATATTTCCTTAGAAGAACTTGCAACTTACAGTCCAAGAAAAAGGTGTAAGAGACATAAACATAACCCTTCAGTTGAACTCTCTTGCTCAAAACAACTTGAAGACTTAACCAACGTGGGTTGGGCTAGTAACACTTGAAGAGGTAATTCCAATATGGTGCCCGCAGTTCGAGGGCTAGCGTTGGCCACTGCGATATGGTGCCCGCAGTTCGAGGGCTAGTGTTGGCCGCTGCAAGCCTCCAGAAAACACACTAAGCGTTGGGCTCGGACGGCCTGAAAGGGAACCGGCCTCAAGCCTTAGTGTTAGTCGGGCTTCGGCCCGGATACCTGGGTTATCAAAAAAAAAAAAAAAAAAACAACTTGAAGAGATTCCAAAGCAATAGAGTTATTACTATAAATACGTATACCGGCAAAGCAAGAAACATGAAATATAATTCTTTTTTAAAAAAGAATAATTTCTTTAACAAACAAGGACTGCATGAAACCATAAGTAAGCACGACAAATAACTTATGCAGTCTATAAATAGGATTTGTTGGTAGAAAATGAGAGGTGAATTTAAGGTAGATCATTGAGGGAGATTCATGTATATCTCTTTTTCAATAAACCATGCAAGAACGTTTATCAAAATAAAAAAAACATGCAAGAAAACATTGGGTAACATCCATTTCTGTCACTTCCCATCCATGAATAGCATCCAATCCTAACAACTTTAGTGATTACCCAATGTTTGGAACATGTTAAAAATTTTAGTGAAGCACATTCAATTTATGTATATCTTAAAATTTTCAATTTCAGAGATCTCTATCATGATAAATGTGGTAAAAATAATTACTTGACTACTGTTTATAGATACTGTTTTGTACAACAAATATCCAAAACAAAAACCAACTAAAACCATCTCGAATCCCCCTTGTAGCAAATAGTTGTTTTCTTTGCTTCTTTACTATATAAGAGATTTGCTAAAAGTGAAAACAAAACATTCTCTCAAGTCAGAAAAGTTAGGTATCAATAAAAAAAACTATCATTTTAGATTTTACTTAATATTTCAAATAATCTAATCATATCATATTAGAGGATGATGGGATATCTCCACACAAGACAAATATTGCTGCATATCTCAATAATTTTTTTTTTTTTTTTTGATAAACCCTATCGGCTATCTGGTCGGCCCCGGTAGGAACGCACCGAGGTGCTACATAGTGGACTGGTCCACCGTGTTAACGGTTAGGCCCTTACGGGCTACCACTCTGCCTATCCCGAGTTTGGAATGCTTTCCGACTAAGTGCCAGGGGTAGTCAGGCCGCCTGCATTTCTAGCTACCAGGTAAACCAATTGGGCCAAAGTCCAACTGACAGACTTTCCAAACAAATGTGTTTTTGTTTCCAGGGAGAATCGAACTCAGGTTTGGGAGTTTCACCCTTTTCCAAAGCTTCCTCTGCCACTAGACCACGCATGCTTGGGCATCTCAATAATTTATAGTTCCTATATATTTATTCATTTTACCCTTTGTTACATAGTATACAACTAAATTTTATTTATTTTTTTTGGTCACTAGTATACAAGTTGTGGTTAAGTTTTTACAACTGAAAAAGGTTACACAGTTAATATAAAAGAATATACATCTGTAGCCTAGTGGGAAATGATCTCTAGTAGACTGTTGATAAAGTATTATTGGAAGCATATTTTAAAAGTGAGGAAGAAAATTGAAGGGCCCAAGAAAAATATAATGAATTTTAGTGAATCATAATGTGCTGTCGATTATAACATCATAATCTATAGAGTGGAGAGATGGCTAAAGCAAGACACAAAGATGTTCATGCACCTTTTGCAGCAAAGTTTAGGTACCTCAAAAGGGTAAATAAAGAATTTTTGAGACAACAAACAAAACACAGTTTTGATTTGTATTTTGACGTTAGACTTAGACTAATTTTGATCCACTAATTAGTAGTATGAAAAATGTAAAAATTAGGAATGGATTAAGACATCCATTAGAGATTATGAATTCACATGATAGCACATTATAAGGCTGTTAACAAAAGTATTATAACTAACTATTATTAGCTTTATCTTCTATAGGCCTCACATTTCTTAATAAAGAGTGAGTTTTATTGAAAGTAGAGCTTCTTGTTTTTGTTTTTTAATAATAAGCTAATTATATTCATAGAGTTACTAATCAAAGTAACATAAAGGTACTTGTAACATGTGAAGCTTTGTTGTGTA